ATAAAAAGAAAAAGAAAAAAGAGCTTTGTTGTTTTAAATTAGTTTTTATAATTAAAAATATCACAATCCAAAACAAATAAACTGTTTTTACCCAAGATTAAGTGTCAAATTTGAGAGATTAATGCAATTTGCTAAAGCAGAACCTAAGCCTGATGCACCTTCATCACCAATTTAATTGGCACTTTTTAAATATTGAAGAAAAAATATATCATTAAATAGTTAATTAGAAGGAAAAAATGAAGAAAAAATATGAAATAATAAATAAGATTAATTAATTAATAATAAAAGCAAAATTTGAAAATAAAATGATGAGCTAAATTAACAAAGAAAGAAAGAAAGAAACAAAGAAAGAAAGAAAGAAAGAACAGCAAGTACAATAAAAAGAAAAAGAAAAAAGAGCTTTGTTGTTTTAAATTAGTGTTTATAATTAAAAATATCACAATCCAAAACAAATAAACTGTTTTTACCGAATATTAAGTGTCAAATTTGAGAGATTAATGCAATTTGCTAAAGCAGAACCTAAGCCTGATGCACCCATTGCACCAATTTAATTGAAACTTTTTAAATATTGAAGAAAAAATATATCATTAAATAGTTAATTAGAAGGAAAAAATGAAGAAAAAATATGAAATAATAAATAAGATTAATTAATTAATAATAAAAGCAAAATTTGAAAATAAAATGATGAGCTAAATTAACAAAGAAAGAACAAAAAAAGCAAGTACAATAAAAAGAAAAAGAAAAAAGAGCTTTGTTGTTTTAAATTAGTTTTTATAATTAAAAATATCACAATCCAAAACAAATAAACTGTTTTTACCCAAGGTCAAGTGTCAAATTTGAGAGATTAATGCAATTTGCTAAAGCAGAACCTAAGCCTGATGCACCTTCATCACCAATTTAATTGGCACTTTTTAAATATTGAAGAAAAAATATATCATTAAATAGTTAATTAGAAGGAAAAAATGAAGAAAAAATATGAAATAATAATAAGATTAATTAATTAATAATAAAAGCAAAATTTGAAAATAAAATGATGAGCTAAATTAACAAAGAAAGAAGAACAAAAAAAGCAAGTACAATAAAAAGAAAAAAAAAAAAGAGCTTTGTTGTTTTAAATTAGTTTTTATAATTAAAAATATCACAATCCAAAATTATATACCAGTTTTTCATTTTACAAAATTAAAATTTTTAATATTTTTTATGAAATTTTTTCTATCCTAGATTTTTAAAATTTATTTTTTTTCAAAAAAAATGATTTGTATGCTTTCTAAAAATTAGCTTTATTTATAATGTTATTTAGATATAAATTAAATAGGTATTTCACTATAGTTAATTAGGAGGAAAAAATGTAGAAAAAATATGAAATTATAAGATTAATTAATAATTAATAAAATTAACAAAGAATTAAAAAATATGAAATCATAATAAAAAGAAAAAGGAAAACAAATCAAATAAATTAAAAGAACTTTAATGTTTTAAATTAACTTTTATAATTAAAAATATTATAATGTAAAACAAATAAATAGCTTTTATTAAGTGTAAGTTTTAATAGCAAAAATGAAGAAAAAATATCAAATAATAAAAAATGAATAATAAATAAATAATTAAAAATTGTAATGAAAATTAAGTTAAAATTGCTAAAAAATTTAAGTTTTAATAAAAATCAATAAATAAAAAATGATGATAATTTCTTTTATATAAATTATTTATTCAAATAAATTTAAAATAAAATAAACTAAAAATATTAATAATAATAAAAATAATATTTTTTAATTAAATATACGTCAGATCAATATGGAGAACCTAATGAGATAAAAGTGAAGAGCTTTTAAACTTTTTTTATTAATTTATATAAATTTAAAAGTTATTAATAAAAAAATTAATAATTACTTCTTTTAATTTATTATATTTTTTAATCTATTATATCATTTATTTTTTTTTCAAAAAATTGAATAGCAGTTTATGAAATTTAATTAATTATAAATGGATAAAAAGAACAAAAAAATATAATAATTAATTAATTATCAAATATTAATTTATATATTTGGTTTTATGAAGAGATATCAATCACATTCAATATTTAAACTTAATATTTTTATTTAAAACATATTTCAAAAAAAAATAAATTAAAAAATAAAAAAAACTTATCTTATTATTACGAATAATCTACTTTAACTAGTGAAATTAATTAATTAAAATACATTAAAATTTGATTGACAAAAACTTTCTCTAAATAAATAACAAAGCATAAAAATGAAAATTAATTCTATTAAATAAGTATTTTTAAATAATATTTTAATGAATCTATTTGAAAAATATTTTTAATGTACTAAAAGCTTCTAAGTTAAAATTCTTTCTTGGAATAATCAATCAAGCTAGAATTCGGGTAAAAAAAATAGTTATAAAATCTTATTAATAAAAAACTATACTTACTAAAGGGATAATTAGATTGACAACACACAATTAGAATAATTAGGAGAGGCACTTAGTTAATACACAAATTTAAATAAAATTAAATTAGAGTAAATAAATCTTGCAATTAAAAATAATATAAACGCAATTTTAAATAAAAAATGAAGTAAAGTAAATTTAAGTAACTAATAGTTGTCTATTCTTATGAAAGGGCTGAAATCCTGTATCAAATTATCTAGTTTAAAGCTAAATTTTAGGTTTGTGCTCATTTTTTATATTTTAGTTAAAATTTAAATCTAAAATCTTTGAAAATAATCAAATTTTATTGATACAAATAGCTTCTATAAAATAGATCATGAAGGATTCGGTATAGTTAGAGATTCTTTATTTTAGCTATAAAATTTAAAAGTATTATCTCTTGGATTTGTGTAAAATATTTATTTACTGATTTCGCACTAATTCTTTTTAACAAAATGAAGATATGGTTTTAAATAAAATATTTTTAATTTTATCAAAAGAAAAAGCTAAATAGGTGATATTGGAATTTCAAAAATTGCTGTGATAATTTCAGAATAAAAACTTCTTTCAGATCTAAATTTAAAAATTCAGTTAAGAATTTTTATGATTATAAATTAAATTAAAAATATTAAATAATAATAGAAATAACTAAATTACTGAAGTTGGGGCATAAAATTTAGGATAAGGTTTTTAACACTGTAAGAATCTTCAAAATATAAAGATTGAGATTTGGTATTCTAAAATTAAATTAAAACATAATGCTAATATTAATATTATTATTTTCTATTTTACAAGTAACAATTTGATTAAATCTCAAGGGACCCAAGAATTAATTAATGGAATGGGTTTTTGCTAAAATACAGAATATTTAACCCTTGATTTAAGGTATAATAATGTTTTTTTTCCAATTTGATTGATATTAAAATATTAATTTAATAATTTAAAGAAATAATGATATTAGAAGCTAAAGGAGCATATTATAAGGAATATCAAATTTTAAGAACTTAAAAGTTTTTAACCTTAGTTTAGTGTAATTTATTTCTTAAAAAAATAAAATTAAAATAAATTCTTAAAGCAATAATTATCTCAATCAAGATGGAGCCTGTTTTTTGCTAGATGGATTACAATAATGCTCAAATTTATAAACTTTTGGTCTTTTTATAAGGTTAATAATATATCTGAAAGACTTTTACCATAATACTATTAATTTAAAAGAAATAATAATATTGAAGATAACGGAAGTCTAGAAATTTGCCAATAAATATCTCAATTTAAAAATCTAACTCATTTGACACTCGAGTTATAGTAATACAATATAATTTTATTCAATTTACTAATTAAAAATAATTACTGTAAATCCTCATTAATTGATTGACACATCCCCACTATCATTTTTATGAAGCATAAACTGTTACAAAATTTTCTAAATTTAGCTATTATTTCATTAATCCTAGAGTTAATTAATGAAGATTTAGTGTATTTATCTTTTATTCTTAATTTTTAAATATTTAAAAGAAATAATTCTATTACTGATGATGGGTGTCAAAGTGTGGGAGAAAAACTAAAGAAATGTGAAAAATTAAAATATTTATCATTAAGCTTATAGTAAAATAATTGATAAAAAATGATAATTATTAAGAAAAAATAATTATTTTGATATAAAGAAACAATGATGTAAATGAAATAGGGTCTTTATAGTTAGGTCGCGGCTTAAGATAAATAGTAAATCTTGAAGAGCTAATTTTGGAATTATCGTAATATAATTTTTAAGTTAATTAATGAACAAATATTTTCATTTATTTAAAAGAGATAATTAAATAGGAAGTTAGGGAGCTAGTTAATTGTTGAGTGAATTGGCATTAAATTAAAAGTTAAAAATTTTTAATCTTGGTTTAAGGTACTCATTTTATTTTCAAATTTGTTTTAAAACTGATTGAAATATTTTTTTGTAATAAGATTAATTAATTTTTTTGGTTTTAATTCATTTATTTTTTTGTCTTATTTATAAAAAGTCTTAATTAAAAATATTTCAATTTATTAACTAATTAAAAGAAACTGTTATATGGAAGAAGATCATTTTGATAGATTTTGTTATTAATTAAAACATTTTTAAACTTTGATATCCTTAGAAATAGAGTTATAGTAAGCTTTATTAAAAATTTCATAAGTAAATTTAATTTAATAAATTAACTTGTAGGGAAAATTTTATCAGCGAAGAGGGAGAAATCATATTAATTAGCAGGCTAAAAAAGCTTAAAAGATTAGTTTAGTTTTAATTGAAATGATTTTACTTTAAATATTATAAATACCTCTCAATGAAAATTCTTTCAATTTTTATGAATATATGGATGGATGCATAAAAAGATGCAAAATTAAAATAAATTAAAGATAAATAGAATAAATATTTTTTTTAGAGCTTTTAATTAAATGATAGACAAAAAAATTGTTTTCATAAATTTTGTTTTTTAGCTATTTAGACTATAATAAATGTAATGTATATTTATAAATAATATCATAATAATTTAGGATAATATTTTCTAATTTTTAAAAGTAACCATATTAACACTCAAAAAATTTTCAAAAGTTTATGGGGTTAATATTTGAGAATTAACAGTATAAATAAAATTAACAAAATTTGAATATATTATTTTGAATTAATTAAATATTTATTTATTTAATATATTACTGTGAATGCAATAGTTTAACCCTAGCATAAGTTATATGTTTGAATTTATTTGAAATTTAATTTTTAAGGAAGAACAGTATATGTAAAGTACAAATAATTAATTAATAACAATAAAATAAATTTTTTACCAATAAGATTCTCAAAGTAAATAAAATATATATTACTACAAATAAAATAGAAATTTAGGAGAGAATCAACTATTTTATTTAGAAAAATTACTAATTGGGTAAGTAACTCCGTTTTAAATTTTTATTCCATAAGAAAGATAAGTTGGCTAGTATAAACTAATATCATAACTTTAGGGTATAATTTTTACAATATTAGAGTTTCCTTAAAATAGAGAAGCTTTTCTAAGCCCTACATTTTAACAATTTTAACGGTGTTATTTTGTAGTCTATTTTAGCTTTTTTTATTTTTGCAATTTACTTTTAAGTTTTCGCAAAATCTTGTCAAAATTATAATCTGGATAATACTTCTTAAAGGATTAGATTCTGTCAAAATAATCGATAGGATTTGAAGGAAATTAAGAATCACCTACATGAAAACTTTTACCAGCTGTTAATTAAAGAAGAAATGGTAGTTATGAATCCTAAAGAATTTTAGAGAATCTCTCTATCATTTATCTTTCTTCTGTCTTTACTTATTTATTGCATGCTTCACTAGACTATTAAGTTTAAATTTATTTAAATGAGCTTTATTTATTACTACTTTTATTATCAGATAATCTTTTATTTTTATATGCAAGAGCTTGATCCTTTATGTCTTTTATTGATTAATTAGAGTTTAATTAATTAAATGGACTATCATAGTAATACTTGTTTACAGTATTTATCTGTTATTCAGGCATATTTTTACCATGAAAATATAATAATGTTGCAATATTTTGAAGTTGCGAATCTAACGAGTATCTTTACTCTTTCTAGTTTTAAACTAGCAATTTCTTGCACTTCTTTATAGAATTTTTTTTATTTTAAGATATTTAATCATTTTAAGTAGGTTTTGCAATATTTTCTAATTTATTACTTTACTATTCCTAATGATTGTATTTATTGAAACTCTAAATTTGTTCTTCCTTTGAATTAATAGCATTTAAAGATACTTAATTAACTGAGTCAACACTATTTATTGCTTCTAATGATCTTAACTTATTTTATGACCTAAAAGATTTAGAAGCAATTTTAATCACATCTTAATTTTCATAGACCAAGTTAGAATGACACTTGTAAGTTTACTCACTGCTTTATTTTTCATTTTCATCTTAACTTTATTTTTCTGTTTTAAAAATATTTTTAGTTTATTTGTCTATTTTTTCTTTTTCGTTCATTTAAATATTATTTTTTTATTTTGACTCATTTTCTATTTATGAATATTTTAGCTGGCTTTCTGTACCACAATCTTCTTAATTCTCATTATCAGACTGAGTTATAGTGTCCTAAGAGCTTAACAAATTGTCGTTATATAGATAAAATATTTCATTATTTTAAGATTATAATCTTTATTTTAAAAGTTAAATTATTTCTAAATTTCTTTTATATTATTTCCTATTATGAAAGATAAAAAAATATTAGATTAACATTAATTTAAATAATAAAAAATACTTTGTATTTTGTTTACGTTTTAGAGTTATGCGTTAATCAGATCTTTCTTAAAACATTGAAAAATTATTCTTTAAAATTACAAATTATTTATCAAATAATCTATGTGTCCTAGGGCATTAATTTGCTATGTGGTTACTTTCTTTGCAATAATAGCAATCATTATGGATGATAGATTTTCCTTTTTAAAATATAATTTAATCTTGTATCATTTTAAAGCGCTCAAAATCTTCTTTATTTTCTTTAAGAATTTCTATAAATTCATCTCTACTTATTTTAAAAAGAGTAGACAAGTTAACGCTCCTAGCTGAAGCTTGTCTTTAAAGACCAGTAAAAAAGCAAATATCACCAAATATTTAACCGCTTTTTAAAGTTTATATAACACTTACTTAACTTTACTTCTATATTTATTATTGGTAAATTTCAATAATACCATCTTAAATAAAGTAAATTGAACAATCATCATATTTATCTTCGCTGATTATAATTTCGTTAGGGTTTATTAAAATTTCCTTCATTATAAATATTAATTTATTTAAAGTGGACTTGGAAAAATTAGAGCTGAACAAATTATTATTGTTGAGAATTTTAGAATTAATCTCAAGAGTGATTTCGTCTCTCAGCTTATTGGAGAGTTAGTGTAATATATTATCTTCATGCTATTTGTCTCTATCTTTTTATTCTTATGATAAAAATGACAAATAATGTCTGACTCTACTTTTTAGTTAGATGCTAACATTCTTCCTAATTAGATATCTTATTTTATATTTTTTTTGTTAAATATTATTAATAAATTAATATCGTAATACCTTTAAATAGTAACAAGATCATCATTCAGTTATTTTGAAGATTTTTCTATTTCCTGCAAAATAAACCCTATGTTGTTTATAGAGTAAGCAAATACACAACTAAATAGTATCATGGTAATAGATATATAAAGAGCTTCGATAGGATTAGTGGCAGAAATGTCACCATATCCAACTAATTTTTAAATATAAATTTAAGAAATTGTTTTTAAAAACAGGTAACTTGTGTTTATATAAAAATATAAAAATTATATACTATATTTTGTCTTTATGAAAAAATTAGTAAAAAATGACCTTAATATTGCATTTTATTTTTTTTAAAAAAGGTAATAAATTTTTATAAGTTTAAAAATTATAAGTTTTAATTTAAAAAGAGGTGGTATATGTATATTTAAAATAAATGATATCTAATCTAAATATTTTTTAATTTGAATCCAATTAAAAAAGTTTAAATTAATTAATGGTAAAACACCTGTTGTCATAGTTGTTATTGACCAATAAATAGCAAAAATATACTAATCATGAATTGAATCAGACTAAATACCTATCTTATCTAACCAATTGCTTTTGTTGCTATTAGCTTCTTACACTCCAACAAAATACCATCCTATTGCACCTTTTAAATTTTAATTTAAATAAAGTAAAATAAGTACTTTAACTATTATAAAATAATTAAATATTTACCAATATGAGCAATTGTCATAACACTTGCTAACTAATTTATTAGTTTACATATATGCTTCTAATTTTCTGTAAGGGTGAATATGTAATCGAATCGCTTTTTTTTGCTTGAGATTCCATTCGCTTTTAAAAAAATAAGTATATTTAATCCAAATAAAAATAGATTTTGTTTTATATCATTTATTATCAATTAATTAGGGTAAATGATTTTAGAGCCAAGGATAAACATGCTTATAAAATCGGTTAAAAATCTTGATGAAAAGAAATATTTTCTAGCAATTTGTATTCTCTTAACTATTATTATGTCTTTGTCAAAAAAAGCAGTATTGAGATTAATTGTAATATCAATTAGGAAGAGAGTGAAGGAAATAAAATTAAATTTCATCATAAATTAAGGCTAAAAGTAGTTATGATCAAAGAATATAAACAAAGAGTAAATATAGAGGAAAATGTAAGTGTAGGCAACTTAAATCAAATCCCAAATTACTCTTAATGTATTGCTTGGCATAAAAACAGGAAAAAATTTTGCATATTTTAAAATGTAAAGAAATATTTTAAAAAGCTTATAGCTTAATTAAGCTTTTCCTTTTTTGGGTTTAAAATATGATAAATCATTGATTGAATGATACTCTTATTCACTTAAAAATTCTATCCTTCTATTTTAATGCCTTAGTTTAAGTAGAGATATAAAACTTTCAACATTGTGTCGTATTCTCATAACTCTATTCATAGATGAACTCAAAAGTCTACCTATTATATTAGTTGCTTTTTAAAAGTTCTACTTATAAGCTGTTATAACATTAAATTCTTAATTTTATTAGTACTAGTTTTTCAGAGCGTAATTGACTTTATTACCTAGTTTTTTCTTGTCTTTTTCATAAAATATATCGTCCTATATCAATATTTAGCTATTCATTTTGGCCTTTGTTTCATTAAAGTTTTTAGAATCAGACTAATTTAAAGAAGATTAATATTTAGATTCACTTTTAATAATGGTATTTTTAGTAAAGAAGTTATTTGATTATGATTATTCACCATTCTTGAAGTTATTAGTATCTTTTGAATGATGCTATGAGAAGCTATCTTGAATTAAAGAATCTTCTTATGATTAGCTTTACATCTTTTTATTCATGTTGAGAGTTATTTTTATTTATTTTTCTGATGTCTATTCATTTTTAGGCTAATCTTAAGAACATGATGAGTTATTACTTGAATTATACTTTTCAGTAATTTTAGCAGCAGCATCATATTGAGTTTTACAAAATTATTGATTTGTTGTATTTAAATCCATTTGTGATTCCTAAAAAATATTATTTTTTCCTACATTAAAACTACTACATGAAATTTCTTAATCACCCTAATGCAATTTTTGAGGTTGACAATTCTTAATTTCGAAGAGATATTTTGTGTTGTATATATCCTCTTAGTAATCAAATTTTTCATCCAATTCTCTACCATCTTCCATAGCCATAGACATATTTGGAGAAAACTTAATTGTCTATTTTTTTGAAGATTTATTATTTGTTTCTATAAATTAATCCATATATTATTAGTTTTTAATCACTTCAATTATAATTAAAAAACTTTAATATTAATAGAACTCTAATCAATCAACAATTTAGGTATGAATTTGATGCTTTTATTAGTTATCCTTGAAACAAATAGCCTAAGTAAGTAATATACTTTCTGTTAAAAAATATTATTAATGTATCAATTATTATCTTCTAATTTTATCACAATTTACATTTTTAAACTAAAAATAATGTTAAGTTTTTACTTTTCGACATTTTTATTCAATTTAAAATTAAAAATTTAAGTTCATTCAATCTTAATAAAACAATAATATTTTTATTATCATTTTTAGAGTAACATTTATGTTTTTAGAGTCTCTTGTATTATTTTTAACAGAAATTTCTTTGATTTTTTGGCTTTCTTAGAATCCTTGTTTCATTTCTTCATTTACTTATATAGTTGCAATGATCTCTTATTCTTAAATCAAATTATTAATAAAAAACTAAAATGAATACAATTTTAAGCACTGATTATAAACAATCAAAAATTTAAAGAATTTTTTGAAGATTCAACCTTTTCAAAAAAAATGCATTTTCCAAGCAAAAAAATTACAATAACTTTATAAATAATAAAATTTTGACGAGTTTTTATGAAAAAAAATCAGTTTTTTTCATTCTAAACATATGATTTTGAGTCAAAATAATGCTTTTAAAAAAAAAAACTCTAGTTTTTTAGCAAGTCACTACCTATTATTTTGCTTGCTGCTTAATCGTTGTGTTAAATTAAATATTGCCTCATCACAGTAAATCAAATAGAAAATATCATCATTGGATATTTTTTAAATTGATTAAATGTCATTTTATTTTTTTTAATTTTGATTTAATTATCCTTACTTAATGGGTCCACTTACCCTGCTTCCTCAAAACTTTATACAGTAGTTTTAATCACTATATAGATAAGAGCATCACTTTTTGGAAATAATAATTATTTTTTGTATAATTCATTAATATTTTTTTAAATGATCAATCTTGTAATATATTAATATTTAAAAGTAAATACCAATTATAAATAAATAATTTAATATTTGAAATTATATTATAAAATTAAAAAATTAATTTGAGAAAAAAGGAATTAAAAATAAAAATTAAAATAAAATACTTATTCAACTAATTTACTATAAAGTAAATAAATAAATCCATGTATGTATGTAATACTATTTAGATTTTACTCTTCCATAATAATTTAAAACATCAATTATTCTATTAGTAAAAATTATTAATAGGATAAATATTTCCTTTTTTCATTCTTGTACCATAAGAAAGATAAGTTGGTTTATATAGATTAATATCATATTCTTAAGGAATTAATTTAAATAAATTAGAATTTGCTTAAAATACAGATAATTTATTAAACCCTATATTTTAACGACGTTCTTTTGTAGCTAATTTAATTTTTTTAAGTCTTTTTTATTCCTACTTCGAGCTTTTTAGTTTTTGCAATACCTTATCAAAATTATAATCTGGATAAAATTTCTTAAAACATTACATTTTATCAAATTAATCCATAGGATTACCTAAGAATTAGGAGTCTAAATGTTGAAAACTTTTACCAGTTGTTAATTGTAGAAGAAGTGGAATTTAAGAATTTTGAAGTATCTTAGAAAGTCTGTCAATTATTAATTCATTACTAGAGATTTATTTTTTATTTTTACGTATTGATTATTGTGTTAATAGATTATTTTACGAGTTTTCCTTGTTATAAGAAAGCCTATTACTTTTTTTAGAGATTTAACTTTATTCCTTGTTATCTTTTAAGGATAATTTTGAGCTATCACTTTTACTTGAGTATTGTTAGTAGCTCTAATTGTAAATTACATTATTTATTTATTATGAAGAAATATTTTTATTTTGTAAAAGCATCAAAGCAGCAATATTCTAAATCTATTAGTCCACAGAATATCTTGGTTCTTTCTAGCTTTAATTTAGCAACTTTAAACTTTTTTAAAAAGAGTTTCTATGAGATTGAGATGAATGGTAAATAATAGATGTCTTTTTATTACTTTCAGATTTAAAACTTTGTTAAGCTTAGCTATTTTCTTAGTGATATTACTAAAATTAATCTTCTTTATGTTAACTAGATATTTTATGAGATGACTTTTTACTTCTTTATCTAAGTAATTTTTTTTTTAAATCTTCTAATTCAATATTTGTTGAATTTATACTATTTTTACAAGTCCTCTGTTATTCTAAAATTTTTGAGTTGTTTTAGTCAGATCCTTCTATTTCTTTCTAATAAATAGTTTTCTATTATATTGCAGATTTTGTACGCTAAACAGAATATCTGCCTTTTTTGCAAGGCACCACATTTGATTCTTACTAGCTTTTTTATCTACTGAAATTATTTTTTGAAGATTCTTCTTAATTATTTGAATCTATGCTATCTAAAGTTTAAGATGATTTTATCCTTGATTGAGATTCAACAATATTTAAGATTGTTTTAGGGATATCTTGGCTTTCGTAAACCAAATTAGAGTGGCATTTCTAAATTTAATTGTCTTGATTGAATTGTTATTCTGTTCCATCATTGCTTGTTTAATACGATTTTTGAGATTTCAGAATATTTTTAGATGACTTGTCTATTCTCTCTTTTACTGATCCTTTAATGCTTTTCTTTTAATTTTAATCTTTCTCTAAAGAATTACTAGGAATATCACTTTGTGAATCTTCGTCTTCATCTTCATCATTTTCATATTAAGACATTGTTTCATTAGAACTTAGTAAATTTTCATCAAAAAAGAAAAAGCTTTCTCCATTATCAAATTCCAAGTTTTATTTTAAGCAATCTATTGTATCTTAAATCTTCTTAAAGTTTTACCTTAATTAATTATTAAAATATTTTGTATTAAAAATAAATTTAAAAATTCTATTTTGTACCTTGCATTTTATTTTTTTTTTAGATTTTCTTTTCGATTTTAAGATCTCTCTTAAAAGATTGAAAAATTATGCTTTAAAACTACAAATTGTTTATCAAATAGCTTATGAGTTCTAGGACATTAATTAGCAATGTGGTTACTGTCTTTACAATAATAACAATCGTTGTGAATAACAGATTTTTCTTTTTAAAATATAATTTGATCCTCCATCATTTTAAAGCGCTCAAAATCTTCTTTGTTTTCTTTGAGTATCTCTATAAATTCATCTCTGCTTATTTTATAAAGTGTGGATAAGTTTATACTCCTAGCAGAAGATTGCCTTTAAAGTCCAGAAAAAAAGGAAATATCACCAAATATCTGACCGTCTGTCAAAGTTTTTATGACGCTAATTTATCCTTTCTTTTATATTTATTATTGATAAATTTCAATAATGCCACTTTAAATGAAGTAAATTGAAGTATCATCTTATTAATCTTCACTGATTATGATTTCATTTGGATTTACTAAAATTTCTTTCATTATAAATATTAATTTATTTAAAGTGGATTTTGAAAAATTAGAACTAAATAAATTTTAGTTGTTCAAAATTTTAGAATTGATTTCGAGAGTGATTTCATTCCTTAGCTTGTTTGAAAGCCCGCTTAATATTTTATCTTCTTATTATTTATCTCTGTCTTTTTATTCCTATGCTAAAAATGATAGATAATGCCTTACTCTACTTTTAAGTTAAATGCTTACATTTTTCCTAATCAGATATCTTATAAATTTTAGTACATTATAAATTATCAAAAATAAATTTCATAATTAGTTACCTTTAAATAGTAGAAAGATCATCGTTTAATTGTTTTGAAGATTTCTCAATTTCTTATAAAATAAAACCTATGTTATTAATTGAATATGCAAATACACAGCTGAACAAAATCATTGTAATTGATATGTAAAGTGCTTCTACAGAATTAGTTGCAGATATATCTCCATATCCAACTTTTTTTAAATTGTAGTAAAAGGAAAATGTTAGGTTGAATATTTATTGTAATTCACAAATTTTAATGTTAAATTTTTTTGAAATATTTCTACTTTGCAATATTTTTTGATTCTCTTAAAATTTTGGATATTAATATAAATTCAGAGTAATTTAAGAGAACTTATAGTATGTCATAATATTTCATACTAAATAATTTTAATACTTAATTAATTACCTGTAGTCATGGTTGTTATTGACCAATAAATTGCATAGATGTACAGCTGGTATATTGAATTAGATTGAATACCAATCTTTTCTAGCCAATTAGCTTGATTATTATTTGCTTCTTATACTCCAACAAAATACCACCCTATTGCAGCTAAAATAAATCTTATTAAAATATATTGAATCAATTAAATAAATTAATTTACCTAAGTGAGCAACTGTTATTACAGTAGCTAACTAATTTATGAGTTTGCAAATGTGTTTTTAATTTTCAGTTAAAGTGAATACATAATCAAATCTCTTTTTTTTGCTTGAAATTCCGTTTGCTTTCAGAAAAATGAGTGAATTTAATCCAAATGTAAATACACTTTGCTTCAGATCGTAAATAACTGATTTGTTTGAGTAAATGATTTTATAACCAAGCATAAACATACTTACACAATCTGTTATAAATATTGAAGAGAAGAAATATTTTTTAGCTATAAGCATGCGCTTAGTGATGATTATATCTTTCTCATAAAAAGCTGTGTTAAGATTAACTAAAATGTCTACTAAGAAGAGAGTAAAGATAGTAAAATTAAACTTCTACAAAAATTCAGTGTCAAAATAATTCTAATCAAAAAATATGATTAAGGAATAAACATATAAAAAGACATAAGTGAAACCTACTAAAATTACATCCCAAATTACTCTTATTGAATTGCTTGGCATAAAGGTAGGAAAAAATTTTGCAAACTTTAAAATAACAAAAAGAAACCTCAAAAATTTTTAGCTCTAATGAATTTTGCTTTTATTTAAATGAAAGTGAGATAAATCATTGATAATAAGAAACTCCTAATTACTTAAACCCTCTATTTTTCTATTTTAATGTCTTAGTTTAAGAAGGATAATAAAATTATTTGCATATTATCTAATTCTCATAACTCTATTCATAGAAGAATTTAATAATCTACTAACTATTTTAGCAGCTTTTTGTAAGTTCTACTTATAAATTGTTGCTGCTTTAAAGTCCTACTAAAATTAGTATTAGCTTTGCAGAGCAAAATTGACTTTTGTCCCTAACTTTCTGAGGTCTTTTTCGTAGAATATATCATCTTGAATCAAAATATGGTTATTATTTATGTTCTAATTACTCTGGATGATACTTTTATGTTCGGAGGCAATTTAAGAATGCTGTTTTTTAGTTTCACTTTTTATAATCGTATTTTTAGATTAAAAATAATTTGATTAGACTTCATCATTGCGATTTAAGCTATTATCATTTATAATCTTCCTTTTGGTTGAAGAACCTTATTCTAGAATTATTTTTGCGTCTTAAAAATCAGATGATAGGCTATTGTCATTGACATTTATATTAGTTTTTATAGCATCATTTTAATTACTTTCCTGTTAAGATTGAATGTTTTTTGGTTAATGCATTAAATAGTCCTATAAGGACATTTCTACCACTTCTTCTTGTAGCGTCTTGCAAATTGATTGATTTGTGGTGTTAACATTCATTTGAGATTTCTATAAAAAATCATTTATCTCAGCTTTAAAGCTATTGCATGATATATCTTAATCACCTTCGTGGAATTTTTATGGCTAACTATTGCTGATTTAAAATCTATAATAAAATCTAACTTTTTCATTTTATTCCTCATTTATTTCATTTATTGAACTATCATATTCAGTTGGAGTTTATTTGTAAAATATTGATAACTTTTTACTTCTAGAATTATTTTAAATTTCAAATTTTTATTCCATTTCTTCTAGTTTACTAACTTTTAACTATTATATTAACTAAACTATTGATTAATTATTTATCTATATTAAAGAGTATATAATAATCTTATAACTTTTAGCTTTTATTTGTTAATTGAAAAGAAATAAATAAATTTTTGCTACTTAACATTCAATACAAAAATTTAATAAAATTTTTGATCAAATCTTCTCATATTTAATATGTCTTCTTTAATTATGATAATATAATTGATAAAATTTATTATAGCTTAATAATGAATAATTAATTATTATATATATTAGTTAGAGTTTTTGGCTAATACAAAATTTTATATCTGATCCAATTTAAAAGGCTGAAAATGTGAATTTTTTATGAGTAATTATGACCAATTTTTTATAACTAGGGGTATATAACCTAATATACTTTATAGTAAATTAATGTATAAAATACTAGAATCTTCCACATGAATTTTAAAATTAGAAGTATTTTTTTGTAAATTAATGTATGTAATACTAGAATCTTCCACATGAATTTAAAACATAGAAGTACCTTAGGTACATATAGTACATCAATTATTCTATAAGTAAAAATTATTAATAGGATATATGTTTCCTTTTTTCATTCTTGTACCATAAGAAAGATAAGTTGGTTTATATAGATTAATATCAAAATCTTAAGGAATTAATTTAAATACATTAGAATTTGCTTAAAATATAGAGAATTTAGTTAATCCTATATTTTAACGACGTTCTTTTGTAGCTAATTTAGTTTTTCTAAGTCTTTTTTATTCCTACTTCGAGCTTTTTAGTCTATGCAATACATTATCAAAATTATAATCTGGATAAAACTTCTTAAAGCATTACATTTTATCAAACTAATCCATTGGATTACCTAAGAATTAGGAGTCTAAATGCTGAAAACTTTTACCAGTTGTTAATTATAGAAGAAGAGGAATTTAAGAATTTTGAAGTATCTTAGAAAGTCTGTCAATTATTAATTCATTATTAGAGGTTTACTTTTTATTTTTACCTATTGATTATTATTTTAATAGATTATTTTACGAGTTTTCTTAGTTATGAGAAAGCCTATTACATTTTTTAGATATTAAACTTTATTCCTTGAGATCTTTTATGGATGATTTTGAGCTATCACATTTACTTGAGTTTTGTTAGTAGCTGTAATTGTAATTTACATTATTTATTTATTATGAAGAAATATTTTTATTATGCAAAAACATCAAAGCAGCAATATTCTAAATCTATTAGTCCACAGAATATCTTAATTCTTTTTAGCTTTAATTTAGCAACTTTAAACTTTTTGAAAAAGAGTTTTTATGAGATTGAGATTAATGACAAGTAATAGATGTCTTTTTATTACTTTCAGATTTTAAACTTTGTTAAGCTTAGCTATTTTCTTAGTGATAATGCTAAGGTTAATCTTCTTTATATTAACTAGATGTTTTATGAGATGATTTTTTACTTCTTTTTTTAATTTATTGTTTTTATTGATCTACTTATTGAATATTTGTTGAGTTTATGCTATTTTAACGAGTCCTCAATAATTCTAAAATTTTTGAGTTGCTTTAATCAGATCCTTCATTTTCTTTCTGATAAATAGTTTTCTATTATATTTCAGATTTTGTACGTTAAAGCGAATCTCTGCCTTTTTCGCAAAGTACTGCATTTGATTCTTACTAGCTTCTTTATCTAATGAAAATATTTTTTGAAGATTCCTCTTAATTATTTGAATTTATGCTATCTGAAGCCTCAAATGATTACCCAACAATATTTAAGATTGTTTTAGGGATATCTTGGCTTTCGTAAACCAAATTAGAATAAAGTTAATGGTCTTGATTAAATTGCTATTCTGTTTCATCATTATTTGTTTAATACGATTTTTGAGATTTCAGAATATTTTTAGATGATTTGTCTATTCTCTCTTTTACTGATCCTTTCATGCTTTTCTTTTAATTTTAATCTTCCTCTAAACAATTATTAGAAATATCACTTTGGGTATCATCTTCTTCATCTTCATCATTTTCATACTAAGACATTGTCTCATTAGAACTTAGTAAATTTTCATCAAAAAAGAAAAAGCTTTCACAATTTTCAGATTCTAAGTTTTATTTTAAGCAATCTATTGTATCTTAAATTTTCTTAAAGTTTTACCTAAATTAAATTAATATTTTGCATTAAAAAATAAATTTAAAAATAATATTTTTTTTGTACCTTGCATTTTATTTTCTTTTTTGATTAGCTTTTTGATTTTAAGATCTCTCTTAAAACATTGAAAAATTATGCTTTAAAACTACAAATTGTTTATCAAATAGCTTATGAGTTCTAGGACATTAATTAGCAATGTGATTACTGTCTTTACAATAATAACAATCGTTGTGAATAACAGATTTTTCTTTTTAAAATATAATTTGATCCTCCATCATTTTAAAGCGCTCAAAATCTTCTTTGTTTTCTTTGAGTATCTCTATAAATTCATCTCTGCTTATTTTATAAAGAGTGGATAAGTTTATACTCCTAGCAGAAGATTGCCTTTAAAGTCCAGAAAAAAAGGAAATATCACCAAATATCTGACCGTCTGTCAAAGTTTTTATGACACTAATTTATCCTTTCTTTTATATTTATTATTGATAAATTTCAATAATGCCACTTTAAATGAAGTAAATTGAAGAATCATCTTATTAATCTTCACTGATTATGATTTCATTTGGATTTACTAAAATTTCTTTCATTATAAATATTAATTTATTTAAAGTGGATTTTGAAAAATTAGAACTAAATAAATTTTAGTTGTTCAAAATTTTAGAATTGATTTCGAGAGTGATTTCATTCCTTAGCTTGTTTGAAAGCCCGCTTAATATTTTATCTTCTTATTATTTATCTCTGTCTTTTTATTCCTATGCTAAAAATGATAGATAATGCCTTACTCTACTTTTAAGTTAAATGCTTACATTTTTCCTAATCAGATATCTTATAAATTTTAGTTAATTATAAATTATCAAAAATAAATTTCATAATTAGTTACCTTTAAATAGTAGAAAGATCATCGTTTAATTGTTTTGAAGATTTCTCAATTTCTTATAAAATAAAACCTATGTTATTAATTGAATATGCAAATACACAGCTGAACAAAATCATTGTAATTGATATGTAAAGTGCTTCTACAGAATTAGCTGCAGAAATATCTCCGTATCCAACTTTTTTTAAATTGCTAACATTAGGTTGAATTTTTATTGTAATTTACAAATTTAGTTTAAATTTTTCGAAATATTTCTATTTTGCATTATTAAGGGGATTTGGGAGTAAATTTTTTTTTTTTTTGATATTTTTAAAGAAGCTAAAAATGTTTTTCCTATGGAGAATAATAATAAAATAATTAAAAAATACCCACCTCTTTGGTTTCAAACATTTGCGGATAAAAATACTTCACACTAAATTATTTAAAATACTTAATTAATTACCTGTAGTCATTGTTGTTATTGACCAATAAATTGCATAGATGTACTGTTGGTATATTGAATTAGATTGAATGCCAATCTTTTCTAGCCAATTAGTTTGATTATTATTTGCTTCTTATACTCCAACAAAATACCACCCTATTGCAGCTAAAATAAATTTTATTAAAATGTATTGAATCAATTAAATAAATTAATTTACCTAAGTGAGCAACTGTTATTACAGTAGCTAACTAATTTATGAGTTTGCAAATGTGTTTTTAATTTTCAGTTAAAGTGAATACATAATCAAATCTCTTTTTTTTGCTTGAAATTCCGTTTGCTTTAAGAAAAATGAGTGAATTTAATCCTAGTGCAAACACACTTTATTTCAGATCATAAATAACCAATTCGTTAGAGTAAATGATTTTATAGCCAAGCATAAACATACTTACGCAATCTGTTATAAATATTGAAGAGAAGAAATATTTTTTAGCAATAAGTATGCGCTTAATGATAATAACATCTTTCTCATAAAAAGCTGTGTTAAGATTAACTAAAATGTCTACTAAGAAGAGAGTGAAGATAGTAAAATTAAACTTCTACAAAAATTCAGTGTCAAAATAATTTTAATCGAAAAATATGATTAAGGAATAGACATATAAAAAGATATAAATGAAACCAACTAAAATTATATCCCAAATTACTCTTATTGAATTGCTTGGCATAAAGGTAGGAAACAGTTTTGCAAACTTTAAAATAACAAAAAGAAACCTCAAAAATTTTTAGCTCTAATGAATTTTGCTTTTATTTAAATGAAAGTGAGATAAATCATTGATAATAAGAAACTCCTAATGACTTAAACCTTCTATTTTTCTATTTTAATGTCTCAGTTTAAGAAGGGTAATAAAATTACTTGCATATTACCTAACTCTCATAATTCTATTCATAGAAGAATTAAGTAATCTACTAACTATTTTGGCAGCTTTTTGTAAGTTCTATTTATAAATTTTAGTTGCATTAAAGTCCTATTAAAATTAGTTTTAGTTTTGCAGCGCAAAGTTGACTTTTGTCCCTAGTTTTTTGATGTCTTTTTCATAGAATATGTCATCTTGAATCAAAATATGGCTATTATTTATGTTCTAATTACTCTAGCTGATACTTTTGCTTTAGGAGGTATTTTAAGAAGGCTGATTTTTTGTTCCACTTTTTATAATCGTATTTTTAGATAAAAAACAATTCGATTAGTCTTCATCATTGCGGTTTAAGCTATTATCATTTATAATCTTCCTTTAGGATGAAGAATTTTATTCTAGAATTACTTTTGCCTCTTAAAAATCAGATGACGGGCTATTCTAATTGACATTTATATTCATTTTTATAGCTTCTTTATCAGTGTAATTATTTTTAGACTAAGATTAAATGCTTTTCCGTTAATCGATTAAATAGTCCTAAAAGGTAATTTGTACTTCTTCTTCTTCTACTTTTTCCTCTTGTAGCATCTTGCAAATTGACTGATTTGCTGTGTTAACATTATTTTGAGATCCTTATAAAATGTCATTTATCTCAGCTTTAAAGCTATTGCATGAATTATCTTAATCACCTTCGTGGAATCTCTATGGTTAGCTATTCCTTATTTAAAATATATTATTAAATTTACCCATTTCATTTTATTCCTCATTAATTTCAAGTATTGAACTATCTTATTCGGTTGGCACCTATTTATAAAATACTGACAATTTTTTACTTTTAGAATTATTTTAAATTTCAAGTTTTTATTCCATCTCCTCTAGCTTACTACCTTTTAATTATAATATTAACTAAATTATTGATTATTTATTTATCTATATTAAAAGCTATAAAATAATCTAATAAATTTTAGTTTTTATTTGTTAATCGAAATGAAATAAATTTTTGCTACTTACTTGAAATTCAATACAAAAATTTTATTAAATTTTTGATCTAATCTTCTGTTTTTTAATGTCTTCTTTGATAATTTAATCGATAAAAATTACTAAATAATGTTTAATTATTTACCATCTATTTTAATTAGAGGCTGTGGCTGATACAAAAATTTTTCTTTTGATCAAATTTTAATTGCTTTAAATAAGTCCTGCTTCATAAAAAAATACGCATTTACAAATAAAGCTAGCTGTAGGTAAATTACCTTTAAAATTAGAATCATAACTATTTTAAATAACTATTTAAATGCTAACTTAAATTTTTCTATGTATTTTAAATGCCAATAAAGCAAATAATATGTTATTATTCATAAATTTAATAGATAAATAACAAAAATAAATATCTTAAAATACTGATAAAAACATGTTTTGAATACAATTCTTTTCTATTTAAGACATTTGCTCAATATTCATTTAGCAACCAATCCATTCAGAATAAACTTTAGCTAATGAATCAAAAAACAAAAATTTATTTTTAAAAATAAATAAAAAATCAATTTATTAGAATATTAAAAGACTAAGTTTTGCAAAAAATGAGAGGGATTCAGGTATTTAAAAAAATAATAATAAATATTATTAAAAAAATTATTTTACAACAAACTATTCTTATAAAATTAAACATATATTATTATATAATATATATGATTAATTTTAAATCTACTCTTAATCAATTATTTTATTGAGAAAAACTATTAATAGGGTAAGTAATTCCTTTTTACATTTAGATTCCATAAGAAAGATATGTAGGCTTGTATAAATTAATATTATAATCTTATTAAGGAACGAATCTAATTATGTTAGAGTTTGCTTAAAATATAGAAATTTTTGTCACTCCTATATTTTAGCGGCGTTCCCTTTAAGCTAATTTAACTTTTTTAAGTCTCTTTTATTCTTATTGTAGGATTTTTATTTTATGAATTATTTTATTAATATTATAATCAGGATAATACTTCTTAAAGCATTATATTTTATCAAAATAATCCATAGGGTTTTAAACATCTAAAAATTGAAAACTTTTAGCTGTTGTTAATTAAAGGAGATATGGAAGTTAAGATTATTGGATTATCTTAGAGAGTCTATCAATTACTTGTAATTCTTACTTTGAAAGTTATTTCTTGCTGATTTCAAGCGACTTATCAATTTTTACTTCTTCTAATGAGTTATCTTCTGACAGATTGCTATTATTAGATAATTTATTATTTTTTAAAGTGGCAGAACTTGACCGTGAACCTTTTTGATCTTTAATTCTTTTTATTGAGCTAGAATAATTAGCAGTATTCTCATAATAAATGTTATTTCCACTATTTAATTATTATGACGAAATGTTTTTGCCTTGTAAATATAATAAAGTAGCTATATTCTGGAATGCGTAATCTATAGAAATTCTTCTTTCTTAATGATTTTGATTAGATACCTTTTAATTTTTCTGCAATGTATTTAATTTAGAGTGAGATGCTATTAAATTATTTGTAGATTGTTTTTTATTGTTTTCTAACTTTAAATTTTATTAAATTTGACTGCTTTCTTGATAAATATTTTAAATTATTTCTTCAGAAGATTAAATTGGTATTTGCTTGGTAGATTACTTGTTTGAAATGCCATTTGAACCTTTTTTTATTTGACTTAAATTTTAATCCTAAAGATTATTTGGATGTTGACTATGCTAATGAATCTTCTGTTTATCGAAAATGTGCGAATTGCTAATAATTTCATTTTCATTTTAATTATTAGTTTATTAATACTATTAATCATTCTTTTTGTGTTAAATATTATTGGAGTCTCTTCTGTAAAATATTTTATTTTATTCCTATTAACTTTTTTATCTTTAAAAGATAGTTTTTTGAGACTCTTCATTATTTAAATCAATGCCTTCAGTTGCTTCGAAAGACTTTAATCTAGCTTATGAGCTCAAAGATTTCGATGCAATTTTATTTGTATCTTAATTTTCATAAATAAAATTTTCATGGCATTTCTCATTTTAATTTTCTTGATTTATTTATTATTCAGTTTCACTCTGATTAGATTGATTCGATTTATCAACAATACTCCTACTTGATTTATCTATTTTTCTTTCTTTCTCCTTTTCTTTTGCTTTAATGCTTTTCTTTTTATGTACATCTTTTTCTTATTCAAGAATTTGGCTTTGAGTATTTTCCTCATCTTCATAGTTCGAGCTTTGAGACATTGAATCATAAGAACTTAGCAAATTATCATCATAAATAAAAAAATTTTATCCGTCTGAATATTATAAATTATATTTAAGACGTTGAAGGCTTGCTAAATTTCTTTTAAGTTCTAGCCTATCAATAAAAAAAAATTAATACAATGAATCATTCTAATAAAAAAATGATTACCTACTATTTTATTTTATTTTTTTATTTGTAATTTTCTATTAAGATCTTTCTTAAAACATAGAAAAATTGTCTTTTAAAATGATAAATTGTTTATCAAACATTTTGTGAGTTCTTGGGCACTAATTAGCTATGTGATTGCTATCTTTGCAATAGTAGCAAACATTATGAATCACAGATTTTTCTTTTTGAAATATAATTTGATCCTGCATCATTTTAAAGTGCTCAAAATCTTCTTTATTCTCTTTAAGTACCTCTATGAATTCATCTCTACTTATTTTATACAGAGTGGATAAATTAACACTTCTAGCAGAAGATTGTCTTTACAGTCCAGTGAAAAACGAAATATCGCCAAATATTTGGCCATCTGTCAAAGTTTAAATCACTCTAATTTCTCCTTGCTTTTATATTTATTATTGATAAATTTCTATAATTCCATTTTAAATGAAGTAAATAGAAGAGTCATCATATTGATGCTCGTTGATGATGATTTCATTCGGATTGACTAAAATTTCCTTCATTATAAATATTAATTTATTTAAAGTGGATTTTGAAAAATTAGAACTGAATAAAAGATAATTGTTAAGAATTTTAGAGTTAATCTCAAGAGTAATTTCATCTCTCAATTTATTCGAGAGTTAGTACAATATTTTGTCTTCTTATAATTTGTCTCTGTCTTTTTATTCTAATGCTAAGAACGATAAATAGTGTCTCACTCTGCTTTTCAGCTAAATACTAACATTTTTCCTAATTAGATATCTTGATTTAAAGATTTTAAAATTTGTGTTAAAGCTCAATTTAATTAATTAATAATACCTTTAAATTGTTGTTAAATCGTCATTTAGCTGTTTAGAGGATTTTTCTATTTCCTACAAAATAAATCCAATATTGTTTATTGAATAAGCGAAAACACAACTGAATAAGATCATAGTTATAGATATGTAAAGAGCTTCCACAGAATTTTATGCAGAAATATCTCCATATCCAACTATATATTAATTTTTTAATTTCAGAAAAATATTTTTGTTAAATCTTTTAAGATATTTTTTAAAAATGCAGAAAATTAATTAGCTATTTTCGTTATTATTTTTAATTATTTAAACATTTTTATGAAAAAAATCAAAATGTTTTATTTTAAAAATTTGTTTATGTTTATTTTTTTAATTAAATTATTTATTTAGCTTCTAAATTTTTAAAAATTGAAAGAAATTTTAATCATTTTTGTAAACAGAAATTCTTACCTGTTGTCATAGTTGTTATAGACCAATAAATAGCATATATATATTAGTCCTAGATTGAGATAGATTTAATTCCAATTTTTTCTAACCAATTAGTTTAATTACTATTTACTTCTTACATTCCAACAAAATACCATCCTATTGCAGCTTTTAAAGGAAATATTAATCAAAGAAATTTATTTATTTAGTAAAATTTTACCAATATGTGCAACTGCTATCACGCTTGCTAACTAATTAATGAGTTTGAAAACTAGCTTTTAGTTTTCTGTAAATGTAAATACATAATCAAATCGCTTTTTCTTACTATATATTCCGTTAGCCTTAAAAAAAAAGAGCAAATTTAATCCAAATACAAATAGATTTTGATTTAAATAGAATGGAATAAATTTATTCTAATAAATAATTTTAGAACCAAGCAAAAGCACACAGGTTAAGTCTGTAAAAAATACTGAAGAGAAGAAATACTTTTTAGCAATAAGTTTGTGTTTTGTAATTATGATGTCTTTATCATAAAAAGCTGTGTTAAAAGTAATTACAATATCACTTAAAAATAAAGCGAATGCAATAAAGTTAAATTTCTGTATGAAATATTCATCAAAATAATTCTAATCAAAGAATATAAGCAAAGAGTAAATATAAAGAAAGACATACGTGAAAGCAACTAAGATAACATCCCAAATTACTCTGATTGTATTACTTGGCATAAAAATTGGTAAAATATTTACAAACTTAATTAAGCAAAGTAGAATCTTAAAAAATTTGTAACTCTAGTAGATATATCTCTTTTAGAAATAAAAATGAGATAAATCATTGACAGAAAGAAATTCTTATTCACTTAAATCTTCTAATCTTCTATTTGAATGCCTGAGCTTAAGATGATGAATAAAGTTATTTACATGTTATCTTATTCTCATAACTCTACTTATTGAAGAACCAAATAATACTTTAATTATATTTGCTGCTTTTTGTAAGTTCTACTTATATGTTGAACACCTCTTAAATTGTTAATCCGGCTAGTATTAGCTTTTCAAAGCGAGATTTACCTTTGTGCCTAATTTTTTATTGTCTTTTTCATAGAAAATATCATCTTGTATCAAAATATGGCTATTTACTTTCATGCAGCTATTACTTTTGCTTTTAATTTAAGAACCATTTTAAGAAATCTGATCATTTTTTATAATCGTATTTTTAGAAAATAAATTATTCGATTATACTTAGCTATCAACGTTAATATTTTTAGGGTCTCTTGTATTACTTTTAACAGAAATTTATTTGATTGTTTGGCTTTCTTAGAATCCTTGCTACATATCCTCGCTGACTTTAATAGTTGCAATTATCTCTTGCCCTTAAATCAAATTATTAACAGGCTATCGTTATAAATTTGTTGAATTTTGGCTAATATTTTGATATAATGTAACCTCTACAACTTCTTCTTGTTGACCTTTACTAAAGGATTGATTCGTAGCTTTGAAATCCTTTTGTGATTCGTCTAAAAGATCATTTATTCCTACTTAAAAGCTACTTAATGAGATATCTTAATCACCAAGATGTAATATTTATGGTTAACAATTCTTAATTTCAAAGAGATGCTTGGAGTCGCTTCTTAGATCTTCAGTATCATCTATCCCATATTAAATTGATCCTTCTTCCATTGAAGATTATTTAAAAAATTAGGATGGTTTTTAGCTTCTTGATTTATTTTTTACCTCTTGTTTTGAATCCATAATATATATTTTTGTAATATATGATTAAAAAGTAATCAGCCTGCTTTTTTATTTAAATTTTGTTTTTAATGATTTTTTAAATTGATAATTTTTTAATTAATTGACTAAATAATCATAATTATTTGATTATCTCAAAGTAAAAATTACAATAACTTTGTAAATAAAAACTTACTACTTTACTTTTTAATAATTATAATATAATTACTATGAAGGGAATTATAAAACCCTGTATTTAATTATTATTATAATTAGTAAATAGCAACAAATAATTGATTAACTATAAGTAATTAATTAATAAATCAATATTTATTGAAAATATTTTATTTATATAAAAATTTTATAAAAACTAATAAATCAATAAAAAATTAAATTGTTTTGATAATTAAATCATTAATTTTCCTTGAAATTAAAAAATAAAACTATTGTAATTTATCATATAAATGTATTTTATTACAACTTCTAAGTAAAGGTAAAAAAATTTTCAAACATTAGCTTGATGATTAATATATTAAAAAAATCAAGGTGATAAATAATAAGATATTAGATTAATTATTTTATACTAAATGTAAAATAAAAATAAATTACTTTTTGCACACTAAAAACTATTCTTAAAAAAACATAAAAATAATAAAGTTATATCATAAAAAATAATTTAATATGTATGAAAAAGTAAATAATTTCTTTCAATATTCAGTGTTAAAAATAATTAGATTATTATGAAATAATTTTATTTTTAATCTAAGATTTAATTTTTAGAATATTAATTATTAGTGTTTAGGTTTTTTTATACATAAATAGTACTTATTTAATTGACTATTTTAATTATACAAAAAAATTATATGTTTTCAGTAAAAGATTGTAAACAAACAATTTAAATGAAATTAAATTTATCAATTATTTTATTGAGAAAAACTAAACTTAGGATAAATAGTTCCATTTTACATTTTGACTCCATAAGATAGATTAGTAGGTTTGTATTTATTAATATTATAATCTTGCTATGGAACTATTTTTATCACTTTAGAATTTTCTTAAAATATAGAAATTTTAGTAGCTCCAATATTTTAACGGCGCTCTCTTTATGCTAATTTAGCTTTCTTAAGTTTCTTTTATTGTTGTTATAGGATTTTTAATTTATGCATTACATTTTATATATTATATTCAGGATAATACTTCTTATAAAACTGCATTCTATCAAAATAATCCATAGGGTTATTGTGTAAGTTTTAAGACTCTAAATTTTAAAAACTTTTAGCAGATGCTAGTTGAAGAAGCAGTGGTATTTATGAGTTTTGAAGTATCTTTGTGAGTGTGTTGATAACTTATAAATCTTTTTATGAAGGCTATTACTGACTAATTTTACTTAACTATTCAGTTTTATACTTCTCTTATGAGCTTTCTTGAAGATTATTACTATTTTTAGAGGATTTAGTCTTTTTTTATGTAGTAGAACTAGACCTTGATTCTTTTTGATCTTTTATTTTTTTTGATGTTAATGAATTATTTGCTGAGTTATCCTAATAAAAATTATTGCCACTATTTAATTATCTTGAAGAAACGTTTATGCCTTGTAAGTATAAGAAAGTAGCAATGTTTTGGAATGCACAATCTATAGAACTTTTTCTTTCTTAATGATTTTAGTTCAGAAGTTTTTAGCTTTTCTAGAAAGAATTTATTTTCGAGTGAGATGTTATATGATTGCTCGTAGATGCTTTTTTATTGCTTTCTAATTTATTATTTTATTAGTTTTAGCTATTATCATAATTATAGCTTGAATCTTACTCTTCCTCAGAATAACTTGAAGTTTATTTAACAAATTGTTTATTAGAATAAGATCGTTTTATTATTTGGTTTTTCTGCTAATCTCCTAGTTAAATAGTGATTGGAAGTTGGTTTTGTTGAAGAATCCGCTGTTTTTCAAAGATTCTAGAATTGTTATAATTAGACCCTTCTTTTTCACTTTAATTATTAGCATACTAAAATTATTGCTCAGATTTTAAATTTTAATAATTTTCTATTTCTTTTGTTTGGATCACTTTATTTGATTCTTGTTAACTTTTTTATCTATGCAAAATATTTTTCAAAGAGTCTTAATTGTTAAATTCAATGGCTTCTAATCCATCAAATGACTTTAATTTGGCTTATGAGCTAAAAGATTTCCAGACAATTTTGTGAGCATCTTATTATTCATAAATTAAGTTTGAATGGCATCCCTCAATTTGATTTTCTTAATTAATTTATTGATCTGCTTCATCATAGTGTGATTGATTTTGTTTATCGAGAATACTCTTACTTGATTTTGCTATTTTATCTCTTTCTTGTGCTTTTATACTTTTCTTTTTAATTGAATCTTTTTCTTATTACTGATCAAATACATTGCTATGAGTATTTTCATCATTTTCATAGTTTGAGTTTTGTGTCATTGTATCGTATGAGCTTTGCAAATTTTCATCATTAAAAAAAAATTGTTATTCATCTGAATAGCAATAATTATATTTAAGACGTTAAAGGATTGCAGAATTTCTTTTAATTTCTAATCTATTTATAATATTAACATTATTAAACTTATAAATATATATTAGGGCATTGAAACTCTATTTCAAAATTAAGTGTCAGACATCTATTTTTTGATATTGATATAACTTAATATATTTATAAATAGACCAGGCCTTAAGACACTTAATTTCAAAATTTAATATTGAAAACTCATTATTGATGCTATTTAAAATAGGAAATATAAATAAATAAAAATACTTTGCGTTTAATTTTTGTTTTCTTTTAGACCTTTCCTATTTAAACCTTTCTTAAAATTTGGTGAAATTATGTTTTAAAATTATAAATTATTTATCAATTATTTTGTGAGTCCTTGGACATTCATTAGCTATATGGTAGCTGTCTTTACAATAATAGCAAGAATTGTTAATCAAGAATTTTTCTTTTTAAAAAATAATTTGATCTTGCATCATTTTAAAGTATTCAAAATCTTCTTTGTTTTCTTTAAGTACCTCTATAAATTAATCTCTACTTATTTTATAAAGTGTCGATAAGTTTACACTTCTAGCAGAACTCTGTCTTTTTAGACCAGTGAAAAATGAGATATCACCAAAGATTTGTCCATCTGTCAAAGTTTGTATGATATTAATTTAACCTTACTTTTAAATTTATTGCTAATATATTTCGATAATACCATTTTAAATAAAATAAATTGAAGAATCATCTTATTAATATTCACTGATTATGATTTCATTTGGATTTACTAAAATTTCTTTCATAATAAAAAGTAATTTATTTAGTGTGGATTTTGAGAAATTAGAGCTGAACAAGTGATAACTATTAAGAATTTTAGAATTAATCTCTAGAGTGATTTCATCCCTAAGCTTATTTGAGAGTTAATGTAAAATTTTATCTTCTTATCGTTTGTCTCTATCTTTCTATTCTTGAGCTAAAAACGATAGATAATGTCTCACTCTACTTTTTAATTAAATTCCAACATTTTTCCTTATTAAGTACCTACATTTTTACATAAAAATTATATATAAAATTTAATTTGATAAAAAAATAAATACCTTTGTATTGTTGATAGATCATCATTCAGTTATTTAGAAGATTTTTCTATTTCTTGCAAGATAAATCCTATATTATTTATCGAATAAGCAAAAACGCAGCTGAATAAGATCATAGTTATGGAAATATAAAGCGCTTCAATAGAATTTGTTGCAGTAATATCTCCATATCCAACTGTTAATTCATAAAATATTTCTTAATTTAAATATATTTCAGGTTGCTTCGAAAATTTAATTGATTTTCCTTGGTAAATATTAACGGTATTTAATTTTTTATATAAAATAAAATACTATTAATATAATTTTTTCTAACAACTTTAACCAAAAATAAATAGTTAGATTCAAAAATTTAAAAAATATTTTAATTATCAATAAGATTTTAAAAACGAACCTGTTGTCATCGTTGTAATTGCCCAATAAATTGAGTATATGTACTAACCTTAGATTGAAAGATATTTAACTCCGATTTTTTCTAACCAATTCTATTAGTTATTATTATCTTCTTATACTCCAACAAAATGCCATCCTAAAGCAGCTTTTAAAAAGATATTTAAAGAAATAAAATAATATAAAAATTAATTAATTAATTTACCAATATGTGCAGCTGTAATTACGCTAGCAAGCTAATTTATAAGTTTACATACAAGTTTTTAATTTTCTGTAAATGTAAATATGCAATCAAATCGTTTTTTCTTAATGCTGATCCCATTAGCTTTCAAAAAATTAAGCATATTTACAGCTAAAGATGTGCTTCGATTTAAATAAAATATCACAAAATTATCTGAATAAATAGCTTTATAACCTAGTAAAAGCACACATATAAAATCAGTAACAAATACTGATGAAAATAAATACCTTTTAGCAATAATTTTATGCTTTGTTATTATGATGTCTTAGTCGTAAAACGCAGTGTTAAAAGTGATTATTATATCGCTTAAAAATACAGAAAAAGCAATTAAATAAAATTTCTGTATGAAATATTGATCAAAATAATTCTAATCAAAGAATATTAGCAAAGAGTAAATATAAAGAAAGAAGTATGTAAAAGCGACTTAAATAATATCCCAAATTACTCTGATTGTATTGCTTGGCATGAAAACTGGAAATAATTTAGTAAATGAAAATAGATAATTCATAATCTTTAAACAATTTTAGCCTTTTTGTATGCTTCTCCTTGAGGAATAAAAATGAGATAAATCATTGATAGAACAATATTCTTGTTAAGTTAAATTTTCTAATCTTCTATTTGAGTGTCTTAGCTTAAGAAAATTAATAAAATTTGATACATTTTACCTTATTCTCAAAACCCTATTAATTGAAGAACTAAATAGCATTTTAATTATTTTTGCTGCTCTTTGTAAATTCTACTTATATATTGAATTTGTGTTATGTTCTTAATTCAGCTAGTATTAGCTCTTCAAAACAAGATTCACCTTTGTTTCTAATTTTTTATTGTCTTTTTCAAAGAAAATATCATCTTATACCAAAACATGACTATTTATTTTCATGCGACTATGGCTAATACTTCTACATTAAGAACTATTTTAAGATATCTTATTTTTTGTATCATTTTTTGCAATTTTATTTTTAGAGAATAAAATTTTCGATTATATTTAATCCTGAAAGCTTTAAGAATCTTTAGTATTGCTCTTATTAAAGCTTTCTTCAATTATTTGGCTTTCTTAATTTTCTTATTCTATGTCTTCATTTATTTTTAAATTTGCTTTAATCTCGCTTTCTAAAACCAGATTATGTTTAGTCTATCCTAAAAATTTATTAGAGCTCTAACCTATAATTTGCATTAGAGGTTCTTCTTATTGAGCTTTACAAAAAGACTGGTTTGTAGTTTTAATATCTTTTTATGATTCTTATAAAAATTCGTTCATTCCTACTAAAAAGCTACTTAATGATACGTCTTGATCACCTTAGTGCAATTTTTAGGGTTCACAATTCTTATTCTTAAAATGATGGTTTGAGTCACCTATTTAATCTTATGCATCATTAACCTCACTCTATATTTTGGCTTCTTCAATTGTTATTTATTTAAAAAATAAGGATGATTTTTTTCCTTTTGATTTATTTTAAACTCCTAATAATTAATCCATATTTTTTAATTGCTGTTGATAAATGAAAAATTGCTGCTTTTTATTAAGAATTTATATAATAATTAAGTTTTTAAAAAGTAAATTCTGAATTTATTCCACACATTTAATACAATTATTCTACTAACATTATTACTATTAAAAACAATGTTTACTGTAAAAGTTTAACATTTCATAGTTTTAATTTACTAAAATATGTAAAATGTTAACTTTAATTATTTTTTTAAATATATTCTTAAAGATTTTAATTATTATTAACATTTTAATATTTATTAAAAATATAATAAATAAGCTGATTTCCTTAAGTTATAATAACTTATATCTATTTTCTAAGCCTATAATTTTCATTTATTTTACATAGTTTGAAGAGTAAGATGATAAAAATTAATTGAATAGAAAATAACCTTTTAGATTTATAATTGTAAATTTAAAATAAAATAAATTTTTTAAAGCAAAAATATTTTTTCTGATTTGAATTATTTTATATCTATCTGGTTATTATTTTATTTTTTCTGTCTTTTGATTTATTTAATATTTAGTTGTTAATTTAATAAAAAATGCATTTATTTTATCTGAATTACATTATATTTAGTTGTTAATTTTATTGCTTCTGCTTATATTTTTTTTCTTAATCATATAATTTGAATATAATTTGAAGTTTAAATGTTTTCTTTAAAATTTTAATTGTTAAAATCTAAAGTGCTAAACTATTAATCATTTATTTTTTTAATTTTAAACTTTTAATTTATAATTATTTTATTCTTAACTTTTATTTGATTTTATAACGACTTTTATATCTCGTAAATTAGAAAGCCATTAATTAATTAAAAAAATAGAAAACTTAAACATTATGCATGAGCACAAATTTTATTATTCTAATAGAATTTTAGGTAAAAATATGAATATTGATTTTCAACTCATAAACAAATTTGATAAACTAAACATTCTTATTTAATTTTTTATAACAATAAATTCGATTTATATTTTTCAAATAAATATACCGTAATCAATATTTACTCATAACTCACCATCAAAATTAAAATTATTTTTTATGATTTAAAAAAAATATTTTTTACTTTTAATCTAAGATTAGATTTTAAAATGTGAATTATTAGTATTTAAGTTATATAAACATAAATAGCAATTTAATTAATTAATAGAATAATTTTATTCTATAAAAAAATTAAATGTTTTCAGTAAAAGATTGTAAACAAACAATTTATATAAAATTAAGTTTTTCAATTATTTTATTGAGAAAAACTAAACTTAGGATAAATAGTTCCATTTTACATTTTGACTCCATAAGATAAATTAGTAGGTTTGTATTGATTAATATTATAATCTTGTTTGGGAACTATTTTTATTACTTTAGAATTTTGTTGAAATTAAGAAAATTTACTTATTCTGATATTTTAACGGCGCTCTCTTAATGCTAATTTAGCTTTTTTAAGTTTCTTTTATTGTTGTTAAAGAACTTTTAATTTAAGAATTACATTTTGAATATTATTTTCAGGATAATACTTCTTAAAGCACTGTATCTTATCAAAATAATCCATAGAACTATTTTAGAATTAAGAATCTAAATTTAAAAAACTTTTAGCAGATGCCAGCTGAAGTAGGAGTGGTATTTATGAATTTTGAAGAACCTTAGTGAGTGTGTTAATAAATTATAAATCTTTTTATGAAGGTTATTACTTAAATATTTTACTTAACTTTTCAGTTTTGTATTTTTCTTAGGAACTTTCATAAGGATTATTAGTACTGCTAAACGATTTATTCTTTTTTTAAGTAGCAAAGCTAGACCTTGATTCTTTTTGACATTTATTTCTTTTTGATGTGAAAGAATTATTTGCTGGATTATCCTAATAAAAATGATTGCCACTATTTAATTATTTTGAAGAAACATTCATGCCTTGTAAATATAAGAACGTAGCAATATTTTGAAATGCACAATCTATAGAATTTCTTTCTTCATAGTTTTAATTTAGATACTTTTAACTTTTCTTTAATGAATTTATTTTAGAGTAAGTTGTTATATGATTGCTCGTAGATGCTTTTTTATTGCTTTCTTATATATAACTTTTTTAGTATTAGCTATCATCTTAATTACAGCTTGAATCTAACTCTTCCTCAGATTAATTTGATATTTATTTAATAAATTGTTTGTTAGAATAAGATCCTTTTCTAAATTAGTTTTTCTGTTAATCTCCTAGTTAATATGTGCTTGGAGTTTGGTTTTGTTGAAGAATCCTCTATTTATCAAGTATTCTAGAATTGTTATAATTAGATCCTTCTTTATCACTTTAATTATGAGCATATTATTATTGCTACTCAAGTTTTTTAATTTAAACACTTTCTATTTCTTTTGTTTGAATTATATTATTTGTTTCTTACTAACTTTTTTCTTTATGCAAAATATTTTTCAGAGATTCTTAATTGTTAAATTCGATAGATTCTAATCCTTCAAATGATTTTAACTTGGCTTATGAGCTGCTAAAAGATTTCCTGACAATTTTGTGAGCATCTTATTATTCATAAATTAAGTTAGAATGATATCCCTGAAATTAGCTTTCTTAATTAATTTATTGATCTGCTTCATCATAGTATGATTAATTTTGCTTATCAAGGAAACTCATAATTGATTTATCTAATTTATCTCTTTCTTGTGCTTTTATACTTCTCTTTACATGTGAATCTTTTTCTTATAACTAATCATATACTTGGCTTTGAATATTTTCATCCTATTCATCATTTGAGTTTTGGGTCATTGTATCATAAGAACTTTGCAAATTCTCATCATTAAACTAAAATTGTTATTCATCTGAATAGCAATAATTATATTTAAGACGTTAAAGGCTTGCAGAATTTCTTTTAATTTCTAATCTATTAATAATAATAATAATAATGTAATTTCACCAATAAGCTAAATTATATAAAAATTAAGTGACTGAGAATTTCTTATTTGTACTATATAATTAACTTCAATCAATAGCTTAATAAGGTATTTATTTATTGATTTGACTAAATATATTTACCAATAAGTTTTAAGAACTTAATTTCCAAATTAAATATTGAAAAATAAGTGTTGATCCTGTATAAAAAAATAAATATTAATAAATAAATGAATTTACTTTGCATTTAATTTTTGTTATCTTTTAGACCTTGTCTATTTAGACCTTTCTTAAAAATTTGTAAAATTATGTTTTAAAATTATAAACTATTTATCATTTATTTTGTGAGTCCTTGGACATTCATTAGCTATATGACTACTTTCTTTACAATAATAGCAAGAATTTTTAATCAAGAATGTTTCTTTTTAAAAAATAATTTGATCTTGCATCATTTTAAAGTATTCAAAATCTTCTTTGTTTTCTTTAAGTACCTCTATAAATTAATCTCTACTTATTTTATAAAGTGTTGATAAGTTTACACTTCTAGCAGAACTCTGTCTTTTTAGACCGGTGAAAAATGAGATATCACCAAAGATTTGTCCATCTGTCAAAGTTTGTATGATATTAATTTAACCTTACTTTTAAATTTATTGCTAATATATTTCGATAATCCCATTTTAAATAAAATAAATTGAAGAATCATCTTATTAATATTCACTGATTATGATTTCATTAGGGTTTACTAAAATTTCTTTCATTATAAATATTAATTTATTTAGTGTAGAAATCGAGAAATTAGAGGTGAACAAGTGATAACTATTAAGAATTTTAGAATTAATCTCTAGAGTGATTTCATCCCTAAGCTTATTTGAGAGTTAGTGTAATATTTTATCTTCTTATATTTTGTCTCTATCTTTCTATTCTTATGCTAAAAATTATAAATAATATCTAACTCTACTCTTTAATTAAATGCTAACATTTTTCCTTATTAAGTACCTTCATTCATAGTATGTTAATAAAAAATAAAGCTTAATTTCATAAACAAATAAATACCTTTGAATTGTTGATAAATCATCATTAAGTTATTTGGAAGATTTTTCTATTTCTTACAAGATAAATCCAATATTATTTATCGAATAAGCAAAAACGCAGCTGAATAAGATCATAGTTATGGAAATATAAAGCGCTTCAATAGAATTTGTTGCAGTAATGTCTCCATATCCAACTATTAATTCATAAAATATTTCTTAATTAAAAATTTTTTGAGATATTTTCGAAAATTTAATTTATTTTTCTTGATAAACAACTTTTTTATTGGTACTTTTTAATAATTTTTTCAAACAATCTTAGCCAGAAGTGATTAGAATCAATAATTTTAAGAATATTTAAATAATTTAATAAAATTTTAATAATAAACCTGTTGTCATTGTTGTTATTGCCCAATAAATTGAATAAATATATTAGCCTTAGATTGACAATTATTTAACTCCAATTTTTTCTAACCAATTTTATTAGCTATTATTATCTTCTTATACTCCAACAAAATGCCAACCTAAAGCAGCTTTTAAAAAGATATTTAAAGAAATAAAATTTAAAAAAATTAATTTACCAATATGTGCTACTGTAATTACGCTAGCAAGCTAATTAATAAGTTTGCATACAAGTTTTTAATTTTCTGTAAGTGTAAATATACAATCAAATCGCTTTTTCTTAATGCTAATTCCATTAGCTTTCAAAAAAATAAGCATGTTTAAAGCAAAAGATATGCTTCTACTTAAATAAAATATCTCAAAATTATCATAATGAATAGCTTTATAACCAAGTAAAAGCACACAAATAAAATCTGTGGCAAATACTAAAGAAAATAAATACCTTTTAGCTATTGTTTTATGTTTTGTTATTATGATGTCTTAGTCATAAAACGCTGTGTTAAAAGTAATTATTAAATCACTTAAAAATAAAGAAAAAGCTATAAAAAAAAATTTCTGTTGGAAATATTGATCAAAATAATTCTAATCAAAGAACATTAGCAGAGAGTAAATATAAAGAAAGAAGTATGTAAAAGCTACTTAAATAATATCCCAAATTACTCTAATTGTATTGTTTGGCATTAAAACTGGGAATAATTTTGTAAATTATAACAGTAAACGCATAATCTTTTAACAATTTTAGCCTTATTGTATATGTCTCCTTGTGGAATAAAAATGAGATAAATCATTAATAGAAAGATATTCTTGTTAAGTTAAATTTTCTAATCTTCTATTTGAGTGTCTTAGCTTAAGAAAATTAATAAAATTAGAAACATTTTACCTTATTCTCAAAACCCTATTAATTGAAGAACTAAATAACAATTAAATTATTTTTGCTGCTTTTTGTAAATTCTACTAATGCAAAGAATAATTATTGTAATATTCTTAATTCAGTTAGTATTAGCTCTTCAAAACAAGATTCACCTTTGTTCCTAATTTTTTATTGTTTTTTTCAAAGAAAATATCATCTTATATCAAAGCATCGCTATTTATTTTCATGTGAATAAGGTTTATACTTCTACATTAAGAACTATTTTAAGATATCTTATTTTTTGTATCATTTTTTGCAATTTTATTTTTAGAGAACAAAATATTCGATTATATTTAATCATGAAAGTTTTAATTTTAAGAATATTTATTATTACTCTTAATAGAGCTTTCTTCACTTATTTGGCTTCCTTAACTTTCTTATTCTATGTCCTCATTTATTTTTAAATTTGCCTTAATCTCTCTTTCTTAAATCAGATTATTTTTAGTCTATCCTAAACATTTTTTCGAGCAGCTCTAACCTGTAATTTACACTAGAGGTATTTCTAATAATTCCTCTTATTGAGTTTTACAGCAAGATTAGTTTGTTATGTTAATATCTTTTTGCGATTCGTATAAAAATTCATTCATTCCTCCTAAAAAGCTACTTAATGATACATCTTAATCACCTTGATGCAACTATTAGGGCTCACAATTCTTATTCCTAAAATGTTGGTTTGAGTCACCTATTTGATCTTATGTATCACTACCCTCACATTATATTTTTGCTTCTTCCATTGATTTTTATTTGAAAAATAAGGATGATTTTTTTACTTTTGATTTATTTTGAACTCCTAATTATTAATCCATAGTTTTTTAATATACTGTTTACTTATAAAATATTAACTCTTATTATTAAGAATTTATAATAATGAAGCTTTTAAATAGTAATTTCTCAATTTATTCCACACTTTAATACAATTAATTAATTAATTATTCTACTAACTTTGATTTACCATTAAATTAAATTTTTACTGTAAAAGTTTAACACTTACTTCATAGTTTTTATTTACTAAAATTAATTTGTAAAATTTAAATTAAAATAAATATATTCTTAAATATTTTAATTATTGCTAAAATTTTATTTTTTATCAAAAATATAGCAACTAAACTGATTTCAAAAAGTTAAAAATATCATAAATATATTCTAAGACATATATTTTCTCATTTATTTATCAAATTTAAAGAGTAAGATCATAAAAATTTATTGAATATAAAAATAAGCTTAAATAACCATTTAAGAATGCTCATTATAAATTTTTAGAAATAGCTAAATAAATTATTGAAAATCCAAAATGTTTTAAATTTTGAATATTGGTTGAATTTTTTGAGTGTCCGTCCTTCCATTGTTATTAAATAGATTTAAATTTATTTTATTACTTAATTTTATAAATCAATAATATGAATAAATTTTTTTAACGATATCAGTAAGTTAATCACTAAGCATATAAAATTAATTAACATTTTTAGTATCAAATGCATTCTTTTTTAAATTGAATAAATTTAGTTAGAATTTATAAGAATACTTTTATAGAGAGAGAGTACATATTATTTACGGTTTAATATATTTACAAATTATTTGATATTTATTTAATATTGTTTATTTGATTGGTTGATTTATTTGTTTATTGATTGATTGATTGATTGATTTATTTATTGTTTATTTTTAATTATAAATAAGTTAGTCTTTAAGTTATAATTTATTTTTTTAATTTGATAAATAAATGTCAGTTCCAGAGAGATTTGTTTTATAGACAATCTAAAGTTCTAACAACTCCCTTAAGCTCTTTGCATGCAATAGAAAACCAATAGTTTTTAAGTGTTTAATTATCAACATTAGATTCTAAATAATTACCCCAATAAGATCTGTAGGATATTATATTTTACTCAGCTTCAACTCTATTTTAACCTATAATTATCAAATGAAAAATTAATCAACTAAGTTGAATTAATATAAAAAAATTATTTTTACTGTCAGGTTTTAGCTACTCAAATAACTCTTCAACAATCGCGATACTATCCCAGTTAGTATACTTTTATGTAAAATAACAATCATTCATAATATGGTCTCCAATATAAAGTATTTAGCCAAGTGAAGAAAATCTTTACCTATTTTATTGTTATTTATTAAATATATTTTAATTATTTTGAAGCATTTATTTTCTTAATTGATAAAGTTTTGATTTAAATATTATAGAATTTATCTATTTTTAAGATAGATAAATATATTTATTCCAAATAAAAAATTACATGAGATATTATTCAATTAGAGTATAGTTTCCTTCTACATATATCTTTTAATTTGTCATTAATTGATTTACAGCTTATCCTTTCAAAAGAGGTTAGTTCATATCAAGCACAAAAGTTTGTTTATTAGGATTATTAAAAAACTCAGGTTTTCCACCTTTAACAAATATGAAATCGAAAATATTCATCCAATCCTATTTAATTTTATAAAATTATTATTTTAACCATTTTAACATTGAAAAATTCAATTTGTTATCAAAATTAATTTTATTATTTATAAAAATTTAACATTTTGAATGGTGCAGAGAAGAAATTAGATTATTTTTATTTATTTCATATTACAATAAGAATTTGTAATTTCTTCTGAAATAAAAAATTTTAGCATTTAAGGTAATTTTTGTAAAAGAAAGAAAAATCTAAAAGAATTTTATTGTAATTCAATCAGATTTTATTGAAATTTGGAAGATATTCAACATCATTTCAAAAATTTATTAAATAATTTGAAATTGATTGTGACGCTTTGAACAAATAGAAAACTTCTAGAAGAATACTAGCTAACTAACAATTTCATGAATGAAAGATTGAATAATTTAAAAGTTATAGGAAATAATTAATGCTGTGGATTTAACTTATTTTAAAAATATTCTTGAGGATTAAGAGCTGCTCATAATATTATATATTAAATGTTAAAGGCAATTAAATATAAATTAAATTTATAATTTCATTTTTTTTTTTGTTTATTTGCTTGTTTGCTTGATTGATTGAAATTTTAATCAGCTATTTGACTCAATTAATTTTGACAAATTTAATAGATAAATATAGCTGCGTTATGTAATAATAATAATAGTAATAATCTCAATTTAAAAAATAGGTTATCTTTAAATAATTTTTAGTCCATTTCATTAATTGAATAAGATTTGCTATTTACCTCTCCATATGAATAAGTCATAGTAAGATTCATGAATTCTACATGGCTGTTAGTTACTATAAAAAGTACTTTACCTTGGCTCTTCAGATTCTCAAGTGTGGTTCTAAATTAGTTCTACTTAAACATGTATAATTATGGATTTTCGCTAATCTATCTGAAGAATCTCCCATATTAATTTATTGGGAAGACTTAGTGTTAATCGAAATGCTAATAATTCATTTTCAATCCCTCGATAATTTATCCAAAAATAGCGTGATATTCACTTTAATCTAGCTAAATTGTGTTAAGTTTTTCGCATTTGTATTAGGTAAGTTTTGCAAAAATAAGAGGTATAACATTTTCAAAATAGGTAGCACATACAATATATTAAGGATGTTGCTTTATAGATGAAATTGGATCAAAATCATCTGAAAGCATGCGAGTAGGACCGTATTCAGTTTCAACATCTAACTCTGTGAAACCTCTATAGCATTTAATAATTTCTTTATTTTCTGCTATTCGCAGAACAATACCTTTGTCTATATGAATTACTAAGTAATTCAATGCAAAACCGTACTCGGCTTCAGTCAAATCTAAAATAGAGGACGAATAGTTGTGCTTGTCAATAATTGTCTAACAAATAACTTTATAGCACAACTTTGTCAATGCTTTTATTTTATATCTAATCAAACAATGATCAACATCGAATCCAATAGCTTAATGATTAAAAACGCTCTAAATGAAATTTTGTTTTCCCTAAAATTCGCTATCCATTTATGTCTTGTTGCCTATATAATGCTTGCTTAATACTTTTGTATGCTATCGCTTGTATGTTATTTTATAATCCTATTTTTCGATATAGGCTATGTAGATATATATACCTGTTTTGTATGAGATTTTTACTACTTTTATTTAATATTTTGGTTACTAAATTATTATCAATTAATTTATCTTTTTTGATTGATTAATAATATCACTTTCTTTTGAAAACCTACCTACCTTTCTTTTTCTTATTTATTTATGCTTATTTCTTTCTCATTATATTTAATGCGAATTCATCATACAAACAAAATTCGCAACAAAAGATGTTTGTTTTAGATAGTTTTTTCAATTCTAAATATATATGAATGTATTTATTTTTTGCATCTTCATCAAAATGAACTAGAAGATAGAAAGTTAAATAGATTAAAAACACTGTTTTTTATAATCTATTTTAAGAATTAAAGTTAAGTCTATTTATGACGTAAAATTCAACCTTTCGAACTCTTTCTCGCTAATAAATAAAACAAGCTAATTTTCAGCTAATTTTTATAATATCAAATAATAGATCAGAAGTGATTTTTTTTAAATCTAAAGAAATCACATCAAAAATCTCTCATTTATTGATTGAGAAGCTTGAATTCCGTCTTTTTCAACTATCATTGATAATAAAAATCACATTTATCCCATTAAAAAAAGTTAAAAGCTTGGCATTTCGTTTTATTCAAAGATTATAAAAACTCTCCTAATGGAACAACTTTGTTCTTCAAAATATTTTCTCTATTTTATCATTTATAAAAAAATAAAGTGTAAATTTAAAAATAGAAAAATGGTGCTACAAAACGAACTAGGTTTTTTTTATTTACTTTACTCTTTATATATCACTTGAAAAAAAGACATTCTTATTTTTTGAGTTACTTTGATCAAAAATTTATAATTTCTATTTAAAAATAGATGAATAGATTATTATAATAATAAAATGAGAAAAAAAACAAACTCTACTTGATAAGCATAAAATAGATTTGAATTTTTAAAAACTGTTTAGTGTAAGTTATAAAATAAATTTGATTAGATATAAATAATGTATATATAATAAATAGTCAATATATTTATTGAAATTTAATAGCTTAATTTTATATATTTAATAATATAATTATTGATTATTTCAAATATCACTAAGAACTTCTTTTAAAACTTAGTCTGTTTTAACTTTTAATCCACTCATTAGCTTTTTAAGGTTTCCAATATCATTTTCTAATTTATTTTATATTCTAAAAAAGAGACTTAATTTTAAATTATATAATCAAAAATTCTAAATTAAAGTAAACAATATTGTTTTGTCTAAAAGAATTGTTTAATAATTTATTATTTTACTTGGCTGTCTCTTCCGATGTCTCTGTTTCTGTAAAATTATGATAGGGATTAAAATTTATATTATTGATTGGTGAAGTACTAGTTGTATTTGTTTATTGAGCTGGAGTATATTACTACTAAATTAAATATCCATTTATTTTTTTCTATTTTAACATCCTAGAAGTATCGTCTCTATAATTAAATAAATTAAATATTCAATAAGTATTTAGAGGATATGGATTTTTAGTTTTCATTTTTAAAAAAATTTATAATTTATAATATATCTAAAAATCAATAGGATTGAAGAAAAACATTTTTTAAACATTACCCTTGTAAGAATTGAGACTAAGAAAAATCATCAACAGGAATCTATTTATTAGGATATAATCAGTAAAGAATTTAGATTTAAAATTTGAAAAATAAATGAGTTACTTTATTTTCAGACTTATAGAAGTTAGTTTAAGTAGTTGAGTACTGTATTGCTGATTAATTGCTGGGTCTCATCATATTATTGGTTTTAGGAGAATTAAACTCACTTGTAAATTTGAATGCTGAATTGTTATAATTTTAATAAAGACTTGAACCTTATTAATTACCACTTGATAAAAATGTTTATAGATTGTGTTTTTTTTATGCAGGAGAAGTAACTGATGAGAAATTTATTTTATATTAATCTAATTTATTGAAATCTGAAGAGTCTTAGTTTATTTAAATGTCAAAATTAGCATTTGCATTATTATTTGAATAGCGAGTTTTAGATATTTAATATTAATCATCTTAGTTATAGTTGCTTAGAAGTAAATTTGATTTATTAGAAGATAGTGAAGGAATATTCGGAATGAATTGATTTAAATTGCCCAAAGAGTTTTGTTTATGGTTGCTCAGTGAGCCTCTGTGAGAACTTAACATGCTCTTGAATTACTGATATTAATTATGATGAGCAACGCTATCATTTTCAAGTGTATTTTTACCTTATCCTTAGTTCATCAATTTAATTCTTTCAACAAGTGTCTTTTATTAAGGGGTTAGTTCAGGGACATAAAATTTATTTTAAGAATCCGAAAGCTTCTTTTAAAGCTATTTTTTATTTGAAAAGATATTTTCAGCTTCTTAGTCATTCTTATCCTCATTTTGAGGTATTTACCCAGAATCAAATAAATTAACTTCTCTTAATTATTGGTTTTTGAATTAGCTATTTGAAATCATTTAATTACTCTATTTTACTTGTTATCTATATTATTCTTTTTTCTACTCTATTACTTAAATCTATTCATTTAAACAATATATTAATCATTACATTATCAAAAAAAGCTTTAAAATTTCATCATAAATTTTTAAAAATTTATTTTCAAAATCATTTAAAAAAAATATCATTTTTTTTAATTTGTAAAATTATTTTGATTTTTACTTTTGTTTGCAAGTACAAAGTTTTCTCTTTTAATTTGATGATTTAAGCTTTTTGTTCTAATATTTCTGATTTTTACTTTTCATTTTCTTCTTTGAGTTTGCTAATGTCTTAATTTTTTTCATCTAATCTTGCCTTTAAAATTTTAAATAAGATTAGACAATTTTAATAAGAATTTACTTGTAAATCTATGACTTGATCTCTATTTTCTTGAAGATTAAACTTTTATACTTGATTTAATTACTTTCCGTGATTTGTTTCTAGATTTTGATTATCTTTTGTTTTTTTTAAGCTTTGTATTTCGGTTAGCAATCCTTAAATGGATTGGACTAAAACACTTTCATCTTAGATTTTTTTTGATGAAAATTCATTTTCATCTTTATTTCTGATTTTTTCTGCTGTATTTATTATTTTTTTATTTGATGATTCAAAGTATTAATTCCCTTAACTTCTATTGCTATTTTAGATGACCTATTAAAAACTTAAATTGAAATAAAAATCAACACTAATTAATTAATTCTACTTAGTTCTATTTTGGTGATAAATAATCAGTATTTGCTAATTGATTCTATAATAATTTAGTATTCGACTAAGAAACTTTGTTATTTAGTTAGTCATTCTAGTTGAATGAAAAATAATTAGACTCGAAGTATTAAATTTTCTGTTATAATTGATTCATTTCAGCTCTCTCTTTGCTTATAATTTAATTCAACTAAATAATTTCTTAATCCTTAGCCTTTACTTGGTTCACCAAAGAAGCATTCAGCTAATCTAATTCATTTAGTTCATTTACAACTTCTTTTTCAAACTAAACTTTTAAGTTTTGCAATTCTTTCTCTAATCCCACTGACTTCTTCCTTTCTTATTGCAACTAAATAATTAATTATAATAATTATAAATATTTAACTTTATAAAACTAAATGATATTTTTACAGTATTTTCGAGTTCAATAATAGTAACCTTTAAGAATTTCTCATTTTTAAGCTATTCTTCCTAAAAATGAGATTATTAATTAAATCCATGCATAGGCGATATAGCAGAGTCTTTCATAAGATTGATTACATTTTAATTATGAACATTTTTTAAAATGCTATTGTTCTAAAACTAAAGATTGAGTTTGTGCTCTAATTCCTAAACTTATATTTTTAATTTTTCATTCTCTACCAAAATATCACTGGTATTTCCAATATCAAACTTCTCCTATTTTTATCATTTTGATTAATTTTTAATTACTATCTTAAATATATTACCTTAAACTGCAAAAGCTCTTTATTTAACTTCTCTAATCTTTTATTTTCCTTTCTCACATCAGAATTCTCTTTTATAAAAATATTATATAATAAAATATTAAAACTCAAAATCTACCTTTTTCTTAAGCTACAATAATCTCTGATTATTTTTTTATTTTCTATTTTAAATTTTCTATTTCATCGTAATAAACCTTTAGCTTTACATTGTTATCCTACATGTCTTTTTTATTCTGCCTCAATTCCTCGATAATCTCATCCATTTCATTTATGTATTTCTAATTAATTTTGAATTATAATTTGTTCAAGCAAGATTAAGTAAATATTCGTTGATGTTCAAATAAAATGACATAAAATTAATCTTATTTTTGAGTACTTAATAAACAATTTTTTCTCAAAATTATTCTAAATTCTTACAAATTCAGTTTTCAAGAGAGATTTTCTAACTTAAGCTATTTAATTAAAAAAATCAATTTAATTTGGTTTTAAATTTTATTAAATGATTTTACTCTTTAAACTGATGTTTTTTCCAATAGCAAACACACAATTTTTGCCACAAAATACTTTACCAATATTTCCTTAGATTACATTTTACTTATGGAACTCTTCTCTATCTATATAGTCTCCGACACCAAGCTATCCTTTATTATTTCTATAATTAATTAATTGAATGACTTGCTAAATAATTATATTAATTTCATTTTACTTTCCTTTCACCCATAATTGCTATTCTTCGTCTAGACAGACTAAATGGTTTAAACCTATTGAGATGTCTTTGCATTTACCTTAAATCTTTTATTCTGTAGGATCTTCATTGATATTCCAAATAAATAATTATTTTTTAGCATTAATTACTGCAAAAGTGTTAAAGCCAGAGCATATTTTAGTAATCTTATCTTTAAACTCCATTTTTACAAGTTAGTTGCTATTCTTCAACAAGAAAACTTCGTTTTCATCTAATTTAAATTCAAAAAATATTTGAATATATTTTTGATTGATGACTAATAAATTCTAATAGCTATTATTTAGTGCTCATCCTCATTGTAAGAATGTATAATTTATAATTTTCTTAAAGGAAGAAAATACATTTTTTAATTAAAATTCATAATATTAAATTATTCTATTAAACTGAATAAAGTAAAATCAAAGTCATTGAATGGATTTGATAATTTTTACTCATTTAACAATTTATTAATGCAAATTAAATGATCTTTTGCCATAAATTAATCTACTTTAAGACTTTCTCTTTTCATTATTTTAATTTAATTTAATTGCTTGTTTTTAACTTTCAAACCCAACTTTAAAGAATAACTCAATTTTTAAAGTATTTTCCTTGATATATTTAGTTAACAATATACTTAAACTAATATGCTTAAAACAACATTTTATTTTATTGATATAATATTAAATTACCTGTTAATAATATGGTTTAGTTTTCTATTTCATCTGAAAAGTCTATAATATACAACTTATTAGTTTATCTTATCGTTTATTGATTTTTTCGATCAAGTAGCTACCCTAAATCATTTAGATAATACTGAACTCCAATTTTTTTAACTCTTGATAATTAATCTAGCTTGTTTGGTTGCTAATTTTCCTGTGTCCAAGTATAAACTTCTCCTAAACCTTTGTAATTTAAAAGAAATGTAATTGAATTCTTATCTGTTTCTAATTTGTTGCAAGGATTTATCATCTAATATTGACTCATCCTACTTATTTTGTTTATTTTTATATAAATAATTCCTTAAACAATTACTCGAAATGGCAAAGCATTCATTCGAGGGAGATACATATATTGAATCAATATCACTGAGATCATCGATAATTTGCAATTTTCCCACACTGTCTTTGATATCGCTATTATTTATCATATAAACCTTTTTGCTTTCTGTTTTAAAGAATATCATTTAAAGCATTTTCTAATCCCTATTTTTAAATTACCATCAAGTAGAAGCGCAAATTAATTTGAAATGCAAATTTAATCAATCTAAATTTGGTAGTTAAGCAAAAATGGCACATTGTTGTAATAATTTTCTTCTTTGAAAGTCAAGAACTCTGTATCTATTAATAAATAATTTTATTGCCTTCTTGTCTTTTATCAACTAAAATAAATTGATGATACCTCCCCAAATATAGAGTTCGCTCATAACTTATCTATTAATCTATCAAATTTAATATTCTTATTCCTAAATAGCAAAAGTTAATACAAATAAATAAATAATTTGATTATTATCAATTAATAAATCAGCAAATTGATTAGCATAATAAAAAATAAATTCAAAATGAAGAATAAATTAAAAAACAAGACAAATAAATTCATAAATAAGTAGGTAGGTAGCAACTAATAAAACACTTCATATCAAAAATTGTTAAAATTTAGATATTACCTTAATTTATTTATGATCTAAAAGACCCAACTTACTTATTTAATTAGCAAATAATTTAAACGAATCTCTTAATTATTCTAATATTAAATTTTATAAAATAGAATATTAAAATAAATAATTCTAACAATTAATTATTTTACAAAACTTTTCTTTTTTTATAATTTTTTAAATGAATCTGCTTTAACCATAACTCATTTTTAAAATTTTAAAAATTAAAACATTGATTTTGATAATGTTGTTTGTTTCAAATAATTAATTTTTCCTTTAAACACATGAATGTCTCATATCATAATTAAGAACCTTTAATCATAGTCAAAAAGCAAATTTTGAATATCATCTGACTTTTAAGAAAAAAGAAAGAAATCTTGATTCGAAAAAGAATTTGAATAGATAATTTTATTCAAAATATTTATAAAATTAAATGATCAATTAGTATTTTTATTTTGATCAACATGTTATTTTATTTTTAAACTAATTTTGAATTTAATATTTATATAATACAAATTTATTGTTTTTCCTCTCAATATCATGCATTTTTATCACTTTTCTCATGTTATTTTAATATGACAGTTGACCTATCTATGCGATTTTATTTAAATAATTTCAGATTTTTATTATATTTGTTATATAAATGAACATAAAAACAGTAATTAAGCAAAAATAATAGATTATGATTGAGAAAATAATAAATTAGATTAGATATTAATTTTCTATACAAATAAATTATCTACTTAGATAATATTAGATAACATTGATATCTCCATCAGATTAATATTAATTTTGCTTTGCATCTTGATAATAAATATTCTTACAAAGAAATATTCCATTTTTTAATAAATTTTATATTCTATCAATCTGATTAATCTTTAGATACAGTCTTTGTCACAAATTATTACTTTTTAATATTATTTAACTTTAATTAGCCATTTATTAATTTATCTATGTTTATTGATAGGTTCAAAATTATATAAATTAAAAAGTATTCAGAAAGGAGAATGAAAATTAAAAAACGGTTTTTATTTTTTATTGTCAGTAATAATTGACTTTGTAAAGTATTAAATGGACACAATCAAACTAAATAATTATAAATGATGTAATAAAATCATGATTTTATTACTCCTTATAATGATTGATCTTTATTAAATTCTTAACTCTATCTTTTTAACTTAGAAATCTAGTAGAACAAAAAATCAAACATAATAATTAATATTTAAAAACAAACAAATATTTTTAATTGAAATTAAATAAATAAATAAGTATTTTATTGGTAAATAATATTAAAAAATAAATGGGTAACTCAATACCAAAATCAGAGGAAGACCTTCATAAAGATTTTCTCTAAAAAAATAATTATGAATATGTAAAGATTATGTCAAAAACAGACTTTTCTTCAGAAATTATAGCATTTTCTTAGAAGTTTTAATGCTGCGTTGCGATAAAGATTTTTAAAATGCTAAATGGATAAAAGGATATTTAGGTTTACAATTACCAATTAAACCTTATTTAATCTCTTAGAGACCAAAGATACGTACTAAAGATTCTTGATTATTTTCAAGATATAAAAATAGGATTAGCTGCTATTGTTATTGAGCATTGTTATTGTAATAAATAAGCATGATATATAATATATTAACACAAATAAAATACTAGGTAACTTATCAAATATTTTGGAACTAAATGAATTGAATCACAAATAAATTTAAGCGATTTCCTACCAAATTTTAAAAGGACTGTGCATTCTAATGGAAAAGGATATTGTTTAACATACTATATTAGCAAAGGATATCTTGTACTGCAAGAAAAGAAATCAATTTTTTATAGGTTTTTTGATTATTAATTATTACTAATTTCTAAAATCAAATTTATGCAATAAATAGATTATGATCTATCAAACATCTTTTTTGGGAGCTAACCAAATGATAAAATTACAAAAAAGGTAAATTCTTAATCTTATCAAAGCATTATTTGGTTATTCCATTTACTTTAAAATTGGCTATTAAGACTATTACTTATTACAATTCTATTATAATATCCAAATCTAATATTAAAGGAATTTAATAAAATATTTAATTATTGTACTTTAATTTTATGAAATAAGGTTGATTTATTCTCATTAGGTTTAATATTTTTAGAATGCTTCCTTTAAAGGACCCTCACTGTAAATGAATAGATAGCTTTGAAAACTCAGAATATATTTACTGTTTTACCAATCCTAAATAACTCATAACATATTCTATTCTTAAACAAGATTATTACTAAAATGATAGATTTAAAAAATGATATTAATATAGTTGATCTACTATCAGAGTTAAATACCTTTGAAATAGATGAGAATTGCCTAAAACAAATAAGTGTGTAAAATAGAATTTTATGTGTTAACAAAATTGACGATATAATTTAAGCAATTGATTGTGATACTCTAAAAATCGATCTTAGGTAGAATATTTATTTAACAGAAATTATACAAAATCTATTAATAATTACAAATAAACTACATTTTAAATCTATAAAAATCGATTTTAATTTTATTAGAATAAAAAGAATTTCAAAAATGTGTAAATAATTTAATTTATAAAATAGGCTTTAAAAATTAATTAATAAAAATGTTTAGAAAAAAATGACTTTAATAATGAATTATTTTAATTTAAATCACAGATTTAACAAATAATTAATTATTAAAATAATATTTAACTAGTCAGAATTATTTTGGAGAAGAAGGAACTAAAAATATAGGAATAAACTTAGAAAAATGCCAAAATTTAACTTATTTGAGTCTTAAACTTTAGTAATTTATTTTAAAACAAATGATTTTTATATAAAATTGAAAGGAATTCAATAAATTATTTTTTGATTATTTACTTAAACAAACAGATATATTATTAATATAAAACTAAATTTAATTAAAATAAATAAAAAAGCAAAAATAATCTTAGTGCAGAAGGATTAAAAAATATTGTGAAGAGCTTGGAAAAATGCCAGAATATTTCCTTTTTAAACCTCGATTTAGGGTAATTTTATTAATTATTTTAAAATTAGTAAGAATAAAATTTTTATTTTAAATCTTTTTAATTTTATAAACTTTTTAATTGCATTTTTTAAGGTAATTTTTAATATTATTTAATTTATTTAAAGTAACAATGATTTTGGCTAAGAAGGGTTAGAAAATTTAGGAATGAGTTTGTCAAAGTGCCAAAATATTGCTAATTTAATTCTTGTATTAAAGTAGGTTTTTAAGAATATTTATTTTCATAGATATTATAAATTTAATAAAGACTTAATATTTATGAGTTATAATAGTAATAATAAAATAGGAATAGAAGGAGCAAAATATATCAGTAAAAGCTTAGAAAAATTAGAAAATCTTGAGTGCTTGAATATAAGCTTAAAGTAATTTTATTGAGCACTTAACATAATTAATTTTAAAACAAAAACAATAAAATATGAAGATAATATAAATGAAAATTAATATTTATAAGCAAAATTAATTAATTACTTTATATTTAATTATAGTTAATTGCTAATAATACAAACAAATATCATTCATATTTTTAAATATAGAGATAATGAAGTTGGAACATTAGGAGCATCATATATTTAAGAAAGTTTAGAAAAATTGAAGAAAATCACCTCATTAAGTATTTCACTTAAGTAATATTATTAAATTTAAAATTAAAAAATTATTTAAAAAAATGATAATTAATTTATTCATTATTAAATATAAATTACAAATTTTTTAGTAATAATTTGATAAACTCTGAGGGTGCATAAAATATTGGAATAAACTTAGAAAAGTGTAAACAAATCACTACTTTAAATCTAGATTTATCGTAATTAAATAAAATAATTTTATTAAAAATAAACTTTACCTACTTAATTGATTAACTTCAATAACTTTATTGCTTATATAAACAAATATTTATGCTTTTATAAAGTTAGAATAGTCTTTTTGAGTAAGGAATAAAATATTTATCTATGAGTTTAGAGAGTTGCCAGAATATAAAACACTTGAATCTCAACTTGACGTAAAGTTTTTTTATAACTTTATTTATTAATAGAAAATATTATTATTAAAAACTATTTATTTTACATTTAGAGTTAAAAATTTTCATCTATCTTGTACAAATAAATATAAATCCTAATTCTTAAAATAATTATAAAATATACATAGATAAAATAATATTCAATAATAAGGAGTAAAATATTTAGGATTGAGCTTAGAAAAGTGCTAAAATATAAGCTATTTAATCCTTAACTTAAAGTAATAATAATTTATTTTAAATTAATCATCAATTTAATTTTAATTGCTTTAAAAAATATTCTTTAAATTCATAAAAAACATATTATTATATTTTAAGTCGTAATAATCTTTGTAGAGAAGGAATAAAAAATTTGGCATCTAGCTTAGAAAAATGTCAGAATATTACATTTTTGTAGCTTTATCTTAAGTAATTTTTAATTTTATTTAAACTGATTTTTAAATTAATATAAAGATAAACAAACAATAAAATAATTAAACATAATTAATATAGTACTAATTAGCAAAATATTTTATTAATTTATTTGCTATTTTTGATTAATTATTATTAATTTTAAATATATATTTTATAAAAACTTCTATTTTTATAGCTGGAATTTAGTCGACAATCAAAGTTTAAAATATATTGGTCTTTGTTTAGAAAAATGCCCAAAAATACAATCTTTGAATCTCAGTTTCTAGTATAAATGTTTTTTAGATTTGATTTGGTTATTTAATTAATTTTTTGTAATTAAATAATTCTTAGATAATAAACTATATTTATTTATTTTTATTTAAGTTTTCTTACAATTTTCTTAAAATGTATATTTTTAGTTTGAATAATTTGACAAGTGAAGGATTAGATGATTTTGGAGAAAGCTTAAGAGTATGTTAAAACATGATTTTTATAAGTTTAAATTTAGGGTATATTAGTTAATTATTATTAAAATTTACTTTTTTAACTTATTTTATCATTAAATTCTTCAGATTTCTAACTTTAATATTTAAAATTAATAGAAAGATATTTATTGTATCTAATTATTTATTTTAAATTAAAATTTCATAGATAGAATTATATTGGATAGGAAAGTATAGTATCTTTAAATAGGCATTTGAAGCGAATCAAAAGATTTGTTATGTTAAAAATGATTACATGAATATTTTACTTGTTTTATACAAAATAAAAAAACATTTTAAATACATAAATATTTGTATCGTTCTATTAATATAAATCATGTTAAAATTTAAAATTGATATATTAAAAAAATAAATTCTAATTAAATAAAAGAAAAATAATTAATATATTAAAAAAAGGGAATTTAATAATTTTTATTTACCTTAGCTTCACAATAAATAGTAATATTAATTATTTCCTTAATAAAGCTAAATATTTATTTTTACTTATCAAATTTAATCAAATTAAATAAATATCTTAATATTTTTATAATTAATTAAACATTAAAAATTTTGTAATTCAACAATTTTGAATAAATAATAAATGATTTAATAAAAAAATTATTTTAGGAAACTAGAAGATGTAATTATCTATCTTTTACTTTGTTCTTTAAATTTACTTTTATATATATAAACGTTTTTAAAGTCTTAGCTTTAATCTCATACTCACGTCGATTTTGATAATAAGTAAATTAAATTTTTTAGTTTTTAAAATTCATTTTTGTTTTATTTCTTTTTTTATTCCTTTTAACTTATAATACTAAATTGAATATTTAAAAAAAGTGGAAATCAAATCAGTGATGAAGAAATATCAAGCCTAAGTAAAGCTTTCGCAAATTGTACTAATCTTGAAAATTTTAACCTTAATCTTGGGTAAAGAAATTATTTTTTTTTGTTTGAAATTTAAATATAAATATAATAAATTTAAAATTATTGAATTAAATTTATTTATTATCTTTTAATTTGAGTTTTTTAGCTTTAGTTGTCTTTATTCTAAAAAATTTCATTCATTTTTTTATTTTTTAGTTTTTAATTTTTAATTAATATATATTTTGTTTATTAATTTCATATTTTTACATTTATTGTTAATTAATTTTTCCTTTTAGCTAATTAAATTTTGTTGAATATTTAAAAAGTTTCAATTAAATTGGTACATAGGGTGCAGTAAATCTAGGAAATGCTTTAGCAAACTGTATTAAACTAAAAAATTTAATAATTGATCTCAGGTAAAAAATTCTTTTAATTTAGCTTATTATATTTATAGATAAAAAAATTATTAAAAGCAAGATTAATTTATTTCTTAATTTAGTACTAATTTTTTAATATAAACTTTCTTCATTATTAATTTTAATTAATTAAATTTGATTGGATATCTAAAAAAGTAATAATTCAATTGGTGCCTAAGGTGTATAAGGGTTAGGCTCTGCTTTAGAATTCTGCACCAATCTCTCAAATTTGACACTATTTCTCTTGTAAAAGCAGTTTATTTATTTATTTTAAATTGTGCTATTTAGTTTTGAAAATATAATATAAATATTTTTTAAAAAGTGACAATAAAATTGGTGAAAAGGGTGCTTTAATATTAGGTTCTAATTTAGCAAAATGCACAAATATTTCATAATTGAAACTTAATCTTAAGTAAAGTATTTTATATTTTTTATTAAGATAAATATTTCATTCATATAAAAGTGAATTTAAAATAATAAAACATTATTTGCTAACTTTTTTTTAATTACTGTTATGCTTTCTTCTTATGGGGGTAGAGGGTGAGGTAAAGTCTCAAAAAAAACAAACTTTGTGTTAGAATAAGACAATTTTTAATTTTCCTGATTAGAATATAATTGAAAATACGCACCCCTCCCCCCATAGTTAATATATTTTTTTTATTTTTAACTTTTTCTAGGATAATTAATTTCTTATTGTTCTTTCTTTTTTCATTCTCAATAATAATAATATTTTGTTAAATTAAAAAAAAGTAACAACTAAATTAGTGGTGAGGGTGTAAAAGGTTTAGTTCTAGGTTTAAGTAATAATATTAATCTCTAAGATTTAACACTATATCTCAGGTAAAAACAATTTTTTTGTTTGCGATTTTATATTTATGAATATAAAAAAAGATAATTAAAAACATTAAAGTTAGATTTTTTAGCATTTTATTTGATTTATTTATTTTTTTAAATTTGTTTTCGTTATTATCTAAATTTCAAATATTTTTTTATTTGTTAATTTCTATCTTAGTAAGTGCATATTTTTACTTCTAAATAATAGTATTTTATTGAATATTTAAATAGTAGCAATTAAATTGGTGCACAAGGCGCGTCAGACTTAGGCTCTGGTTTAGCAAACTGCAATAATCTCTCTATTCTAGTATTAGGGTTATAGTAATTCATATA